TGAGAGCCCCTGAGAGCACCCTACTATACGGTTGGGAATTTCAAATTTCGTGAATTTTTTTAACTTAAGATTCCCGACAAAAATTGAAAAAATCATAAAAACACGTCGTATCTCGCAAACTAAAAAGATTTGATCACTCATACTTGGAGGCAAGATTTGAGACGCCTGGGTATACGCTGACAATAAGGTTGTGTCTTCATCAATTCAGAAGTTTCAAATTTTGCGAATTTCTTTGTAGATAAGTTCTTGGAGAAAATTTGAAAAAAAAGAAAAAAAAACATCACATCTCGGAAACTGAAAGCATTTGAGCAGTCGCATTTGAGCAGTCGCATGTGGCGAGATTTTTAACTCCTGAGATTGACCTGATAGCACCCAACTACAGGGTTGGGAATTTCAAATTTTGAAAAACAATAAATTTAATTTTTCTGAAAATGTTTGAAAAAATCACAAAAAACGTCATATCTCGAAAACTACAAAGATTTGAACAATCACATTTGGAGGCAAGACTTGCAACTCCATGGAGTACCCTGACAATACCTAACTACAGGGTTGGGACTTCAAAATTTGAAAAAAAAATAACTTTAAATTTTCTGAAAATTTTTGAAAAAATCACAAAAACGTCATATCTCGAAAACTACAAGGATTTGAGAAGCCATAATTGGAGGCAAAATACAAAATACGCAATCCTTAATAAGACTCTGACAGTACCCAACTACAGGGTTGGGAACTTCAAGTTTTTTAAATAATTTTGTAGTTTGAGTTTTCTGAAAATTTTTGAAAAAATCACCAAAATCGTCTTATCTCGTTAACTACAAAGAATTTGGCCATTCAAAATTGGAAGCCAAATTCGCCCTTGGTGAATCCTGGCAGCATCCCAATATTGGGCTGTTTATTTTAAACTCGGTGAAATAACCACTAAAATCAAACTGGAAAATCTAGAAAAAAAAAACAATTCTTAACCATTGCAACATATGATATAGCTTAAACGTGCAAAAATTCTTTCGTTAAACATGCAAAAATAATACGTTGAAAAAGATTAAACATGGCGAGATAGTGAAGCCCGCATTTAATTATATAATAGATATAACTCGACACATTCTGATGATTATTTGTGGTACCTGATTTTTCGCAGCAAAAAAAGTAAAGCGCACCGGAATACAAAGTTCATCCCCATTTTCAATGTTTATCCCCATACAAAGTTCATCCCCATTGTCGGAACATAAATGTTTGAGGCACATTGCAGACCGTTTAGGTATAGTTCGGAAAAATTGCGACTAGTATATCTTTAGCTTTTGCAACAAAACTTGTCTATAGACACTATAATCCTAGCTACATCATGATGCATGATATGGCATCGAGAAAATTGAACATATTTACAACATATCGGCCAGAAAACTTTCATGTTGCATATCCCTTCAAATTGGTCCAGCAAAATACCTAATAGAAAGATTTCATTAGTATTGCCAAACACGGGAAAAAGCCCTGTAATCTACACTGAAATACTTTTAAAAAAATTTCAGAATTTGAGACTGAACACAGCCAACAAGCAGTTGCAAAAGAGGCAAGTAAAACAAAAAAAATTCAGACTTGTTTTTTTAATCCTCAACTTTCCAATAACCAAGAAAAAATTAAATGAATTTAACGCTTTTTGAAATTATAGAAAAAACTATGGTTGAATTTTTGATGACAGTTAACCCAACTGGATTTTGATGACAATTAAGCAAGTGGATAAAAAGCTAAAGTTTTTATCTCGCTGAGAAATCTGATAAGTAAATTATTTTTTCGAAACAAGGAACGATCACGTTTTTTGTCACCTTTACATTTTTATTGTTCGATAGTGGAGTTTGCCTTCTTTTCAACAAAAGAAAAAACAGAACTTAAAAAGAAATCAGTCAAACCGCGATAGGGTACTTTTGAGCGTGAACAAACTTCATGACTTTTTCTGAGAAAAAAAAAACAAAGAAAATCATCACAAAAAAATCATCCTGAAAAAGAAAACAAAAAATCATCACGTTTGTATCCGAAGAATATTGACTAGATCAGAGAACTTGTAGAGACTACAATAAAATACTGGTGTTACAATAAAACCCTTCAGCCGTGGTTCGGATTCCAAAAAAAAATCAAGAGTTTCTCAGTTTCCAGAAAAATGAGTCTGAACTTTTCGCTTTTCAGACTAGACTAGTGCCAGCTTTTTAATTATGTTACAGCTAAGAAAAAATTATTCGTTAGGGTCCAGAAGTGCCGCCTTCAAGTGGTGGACCCGGCGCGCTGTCTATACAGCCTCAAATGGCACTACCTAACCCTCCCCATACAAGGGTGCGCGGAAAAAGTATTAGTTACGACTAAACAGAACCAAAAACACTGACTTGAAAAAAAAATCGCAACGAATTTCAAAGAAAATAGATGGCCTGATTATGCTTTTTAATTATGTTACAGCTAATAAGAAATTATTCGTTAGGGTCTAGAAGTGCCTCCTTCTAGTGATGGACTCGACGCGCTGTCTAAACAGCCTCAAATGGCACTACCTAACCCTCCCCGTACAAGGGTGCGAGGAAAAATTATTCGTTACGACTAAACAGAATAAAAAACACTGACTTGAAAAAAAATCGCAAAAAAATCAAGAAAATAGATGGCCTTAAAGCTCATTGAATTTCTAGAACAATTCATGATTAACACTTTTTATTAAAAAATACTAGCGTGTACCGCACCTCCGGTGCTTCAATTTTTCAACAACTCAAAAAACTACTCGTTGAGTGTACTCTGACAGCACCCAATTACAAGGTTCGTAATTAAAAATTTTGCAACGTTTTTTAGTCAAGTTTTTTACACAAATTTTGAAGAACCATAAAATTTTGTGAAGTTTTATATAAATTCTTCGAAAATTTAAAATGAACTAAGAAACGTCAAATCTGGGAAACTGAAAGCAATTGAGCAGTCGCATTTGGACGCAAAATTTGCAACTCCTGAGAGTAACTTCAAATATTGTAAAATTTTTCATTCGATTTTTCAATTCAAATTTAGAAAAACCATAAAGAGATTGTGACATTTTTTTATATCTAAGTTTCTAATGAATTAAGAAACGTCACATCAGGAAGCTGAAAGCAATTGAGCAGTCGCATTTGGACGCAAGATTTGCAACTCCTGAGAGTACCCTTACAGTACCCAACTACAACGTTGGGAAATTCAAATTTTGAGAAACTTCACCTTAAGTTTTCTAAAAGAAGTATTTTTTTTTTATAAAACCAGCAAAAAATTAACATTTCGAAAACTACCAAAATTTGAGCAGTCTTTTTTGATTGAAATATTCGCAACCTTTGAAAGTGCACAACTACAGGGCTGGGAATTTCAATTTAACGAATTACTTTGTAATTTGAGTTTTCTGCAAATTTAGAAAAAAAAAATCACAAAAATCGTTTTATCTCTTAAACAAAAAAGATTCGGGCATTCTTAATTGGAGGCCGAACTTGCAACCACTGAGATTACTCTAACAGTCCCCCAACTACAGGCTAGAAATTTCAAACTTTGAAAAAAAATTAATTTAATTTTCATGAAATTTTTTTTTTAAATCACAAAAAAAGTCATATCTGGAAAACTGCAAGCTTTTGAGCAGTCCTTTTCAGAGGCAAGTTTCGAAACCCCCTGAGAGTACCCTCAAAGATTCCAATAACAGGATTGAGATATTCAAAGTTTTGGAGTTTCTCAACTAAGTTTTTTTGAAAACTTCGGAGAAAATCATAAAAAACGTCATATCTCGGAAACTACAAGGATTTGAGTAGTCATCTTTGACAGCGAAATTCGCAACTCCTGAGAGTACCTTGACAGAGCCTCAGTACAGAGATGGTAATTTCAAGTTTTGTGAAATTTTTTTTATCTACATTTTCTGAAAAATTTTGAAAAAAATCCAAAAAAACGTCATATCTCGAAAACTACAAGGATTTGAGCAGCCATAATCAAAGGCAAGATTCGCACCCCCTGCGAGTAACCCCACAATATCCAACAAAAGGATTGAGATCTTCAACGTTTTGGAAGTTTTTAAAATCTAAGTTTTTAAAAAAAAAAATTTGAAAAAATCATAAAAAACGTCATATCTGGAAAACTACAAGGATTTGAGAAGTGAGAATTGGAGGCAAGATTCGCAACACCTGAGAGTACCCTGACAGCACCCAACTTCGGGTGAAAATTTCAAAAATTGAGAATTTTTTTGAAATTAAATTTTCTATAATTTTTTTGAAAAACCTCGAAAATTGCCTATCTCGTTTAACCAAAAGGATTTGGTTATTCATATATGGAGGCCAGAATCGCAAAACCTGGGAAAACTCTGACAATATCCTACTATTGGGTTGCTACTTTTAAACTTGATGAAATAAACACAAATCAAACTGGAAAATCGAAAAAAAAACCTTAACCATTGCAATATACGATATAGCTTAAACGTGAAAAAAATTCATTCGTTAAACATGCAAAAATAATACATTGAAAAAGCTTAAACTTGGCGAGATAGTGAAGCCCGCATTTAAATATGTAATAAAAGATAATAGATGAAAGTTAAATAATTAGCCGACGGGTAGACAGACAATCAAATTAATTAAAAAAGCAGGTATACAGACAGACTGACTTAATTTGGCCTCGAAAAAAAATACTGAAAAATTGATGACCTTGCGAAAAACTAATTGAACAATTTTCTTAAGCATTGCAATATATGATATAGCTTAAACATGGGAGATAGCTGTCACTCGCATTTAAATATAGTATAGATAGATTTAAATATAGTATAGATAGATATAGATTACTCAAAATCATAGAAGACATTAATGAATTAATTTTTTCTTTTGACTATAACTTTAAACTGGAAATGGTCGGAACTCACCCGAAACTATACTTTTATTCAGAACTGAAATACCGCTTTTTCAAACAATCATACCATGAGTCAAACAAGATCTGAAAAATAAAAATTCTTTTGAATATCGCAAAATAATTTCCTTGGGTCGAATAAAACGGATTTTGTATTAAGGGAGACTTTTATTTCATTTTAAAATATTGCATCCTTTTATTTTTTTAAAAATAATGCAGCCTTTTATTTCATTTTCAAATATATTTGAAGACAAACTCATTAATTACATATTTGAAGACCGTCATTAATTAGAAATTTCCAGTTGATTCAAGCTTGAACTGACATCACTGCTGCTTCCATTGGATATGTTGTCCAGTTTTGTAGAAAAAGTACAAATTGGCCCCAATTACTCCGTACGCAATCAGCACACTAATCCCATGTGAAATTCCAAATCTCATTGCTGCTTTCTTCCTTTCCGCGCTTCCTTCTTCAAACTTACGAAGAAGAACCTGTTGTTTACTGACGTAGGGGAAAATCAGGTAGCTTTGCAGCAAGTGAGACGCCAGTGACGCAGAGAGAAGGTAAGTTAGAATATCTAAGTCACCCCTTTTTCCCCTCCTCTCGCCATATATTCGAACAATTTTACCTTTCAGAGGCTGTTAAAACTGAATTATAATATTGTAGTAATAACTACAAAACATCAGTAAACTACTGTGACATAACTTTTGATTACTAATTGTAAAATAGTTTACTTGGAGATCTTCAGCCCTGTTGCCCATTTAGAAAAAGTAGCCACTACTGTTATTGAAACGTTTTGATCTAAAACAGTCAGGCTCTCGTTTTTCAGCAAAAGCCATACCTTCAAAACTTTTTTTGCTATTAAAGATCAACCAAATTTACCTATCGTAGAAAAACATGAAATGGAACTTTGAGTATTGAAGCTATTGATTTCTCGCAGGAGCGATTAATTCATCCGCCTCCTAAATCAGCGACTTACGTGAAGTCCATTATGACCAAGAAAAACTAAAGAGTTTGTCACTTGTTCATAATGATAAGTTTAAAAGTAATAATGGCGTCACGGAGGAGAAAAAAAGATGCCTGGAGTAGGATGCAGAGCATTGTATGCGGCGAGAGCGACCGTTCCAGAGAAGATGGCGACCATTCCGAACTTCGGGAACAGTCGAGCAGAAATTTCAGAGAAATCTTTTTTTTCCATGTTCAGACGCATCGTAGGCCCTGTAAGAAAAAAGGGATCTAATAAACAATCTCCAATCTCCCCGTTCAAAGAAAAGAAAAAAGACTCTTAAAAAGAAAATTCAGCAAAATGATTCAATTTTTTTAATCGAGCCGGAGAAGCTTTTAAAACTAAAATCAATAAATAGCCAACCAACTCATAATGTCGATCAGTTTTTATTACTTTATCGACAAAATTAGGCAACAAATTCAAGCAGCGCTCGCAAAGTTAATTTCGTGGACGCATGAAAAAATATCTAGGGACGAAAATCTCGAAAATTTTGGAAAAATCTGCGGATCTGATTCAGGATTGTTGCTAAGACGAGATCTTCAGACAAATTCAACGACCTTTTTTTAGACTGAATATTCAAGTGTTTTGCTTGAGCTCTCTTAATCCACAAACACCATCTCCACGCAAAATGGCAAATAGTAGCAAAATAAGTCAAAAAACGATATTAGAAAAGAAAAAGCAAATAAGCCTTGAAAAATATAACTTTTGCTATACGCCGGAATCAAACCGCAGACTTGGAGGTTGCAAAACTCATTTTATCGCATCTACTCGTCAGTAGCTTGAAATTATGCAAACAGTAGCCGCTAAAAAAGCCGGCAGAACAGATGATAATAAATTAACAATTTTTTGCAGCAAATTACCAACTAAGGAGCACTTTCAATTGCAAGTTGGGTTAGAAAAATAGATACGTAATATAACACAGCACTCGCTCGATCGCTCGTAAAAAAACAACACTGGCTAGTTTAATAAAACTTTTTCATTGCACTGGAAAGCCCCAAATATGAACAGCCGATTGCTCAAAAAGGAGCACAAAATTATTTTTTAATTTAAAGTTTCGGGGCAAGGGCTTTAAAGTGACAAAGGAGGAGGCATGTTCCGTGCTCACAGGTTGAAGCAATATTCATTTAGGTTTAAAACATTTCCTCGCAGTCAAAGTCAACCATGTGGCTTTTTTAAACAACTATAATCAACACAATAGTTGAAAAAAATATATTTTCTTCACAGCGAGGCTAATAGAGAAGTGAACGCGAACTTTCTGGGAACACGAAGATCCAGGGGTTCGATCCCCGAGTGAATTTTTTTAAACATTGGTTTTCGAAAGTCGAATCAACAAGCTTTGGCTTGCCTAATGATTAATTGTAATTGATAAACTAACTTCTAAATGAGGAAACCAGATCAACATGTCTTATTTCAATTCCGCTGTGAAATACCAAAATAAAATAATTTTGAAACAAAATGAAGCGCAACTTATCGTGCCGTTATTCTTTTCACTGTGAAAAGAGATTATAATTTCACCTCAATTAAGCTCATGCATTCGATGTTACTTAAAATTTTACTATTTACAGAAAAAAAAACATTAGAAATTTATTCTTAAAGGTTACCATAAATCTGTTAAGGCAACGAATCAGTTTTCATTATTTTCACTATAAAAATTCCAAGCATAATTGAAGTTCTAGCCTAGAAAAAATTTAAAATACTACCTGCAACATTAGCCACCCACAACTGTTTTCCCAATTGCACTCCCACTGATCCCAAACAGAGGGAAGTTATGACAGAGGGGGAGAGATAGTTAACCACAGGCACCGATGAGAGAGACAGACCTAACACTATCGTGTGGTGGGCGAAGTCGCTGGCAGTTTTGAACCAGTTTACAATGTGTTCGATCAGCCCAGACATGGTCTAAATTGTAAATCTATTCAAATAAGGACAAACTATCTGTCTTATATCAAAAGAATAATCACACGTCTCAGCATATTTAACTTCCTGCTTAGTGGAAAAAAGGAACAAAAAATAAGCTTTTCGTGTTTTATGCAGTCCAATGGGAAGCAAAAATAAAAAAAGAAGCAAAATTAATAGCAAGCACAAATTAAAGCCTATAAAATGAAATGTAGATTATCGTATTCCAATGTAATACAGATTTGAATGAAGGGAGTTGGTTCTTACAGTAGGAAATTGAATAAAGGGCTTGAGATTGTTCTCTAAGTCCAAAGCAGCGCGTTTTTTCCTGAAGCAATCATGAAGAGTCCTTAAAAAGTTGAACCGCAAGACTGCTTGAAGATGCTTTACAAAGATCGTTTAAAATACTTCAAAAGAACAAACTTGGTAATCTTTGAGACCCATTCTTTAGATGGTTACGCACTCGCTTTTTAAACTATGGGTACAATGATAGAAAAATAAATAAATGTAAAAAAAACTACTTCAAGCTTTAGCTGGCCCCTAGTTATTAAGTGTAAACAAAAATTTTGGTACATGCAAGAAGTAGTTTTTGTACATGTATTACCTTTTCTATCATTGCACCCATAATTGAAAAATCGAGCGCGTAACCATTCAAGGGCTGGGTTTCAAAGAATACAAAGTTTTTTTTTGAAGTATTTTAAACAATTTGACTTTCAGCGATTTCTCTACTGAAGTAGACGAGTAGCCGCTAACACGGGAAAATAATTCCGAGTGTCTTTTATCTCCGAACTAACAGGGTATTTTTTTGAGAAAAAGTACAAAAAAAATCGACTAAAACGGTCAACATTAGACTTTCCCCAAGTCCACAGCTGTACGTGACAGTTTTTCTATATATATATTGACACAACCTATTCTTTCTATTAGTTCAAAACGCTTTTCCCGCAAAAAGTGGGGCGTAGATTCTTGCAAAGGAAAACTTCGCACAATCTGTTCTTTCGCTTGAACCTTTTATTTCGAAATTTCAAAAATTTGACGTTTCCTAATGAAGTTTTTTTGCGCTTATTAATGCGTAGCCGCTTATGCAAGGAGAATTCCTTCTTGTTCTCTCGATTGAACTCTTAACTTCAGTATTGGCAGGGTCATTTTCGGGAAAAGTGAAAGTTTCCAAAAATCGGTCAAAACCTGGCATTTTCTAAGGCCATTTTCGTAAAATAAATTAGGGCATATTTGGCTATGCTATCATGTTCTTTTATAAGACCCCATAATCTCAGATTTGACAAGGTAGTTTGAGAAAAGTCAAAAATGGGTCAAACATTCCTCCCATTGAGCTTTTCGAAGGCCGTAGAACGTGCGGTATACTTAAAATAAACTAGCGGAATATTCCCATTGGTACCATATTTTTTGAAAACCAGTTAAGTAGTTTGAGAAAAATGAAAGTATGCGTTTTTAAACGTACATCCAAATGAACCACCAATGCTAACATATTATCAAACGATGCTACGACTGCTTCAGATCAAACAAGCGATTGGATAAAAAATTCACGCAGTTATCTAGGATTCAGCTCCTATTGTTCAAATTTGGGGGCGGAGATAGGTATAGTACTTGCTCAGCATAGTCGGTCGGTTCGTTATCCAATAAGTGTCCAAAATTTATTTCACAAACATGTCACTTCGCATACTTTACTTCAGAAGATGAGGAAAAATCAATGAGAATCTTAAACAACAAAATACTGCTGGTATCAGGGTGAAGCCCTGAATGTTGCGACTGCCACTTAAAGTTTACGGAATATTTTTCGATTAAAATTTTTAAACCGTTTTTAGGATTTTTGAAGAGAAAATTCTCTCCACACAAACTAAGCAAAGTACAATCTGATACACTTAGCCTTCAGCAACCTACTAAAATGTTTCAACACCTTGCCTCAGTCAACTTGGTATGATTTATGTGCAGGTATACATCCCAGTTTACACGCTAAAAGCATAAAATACATTGGCGTTAAATGTCCCAATTAGCGAAAGTGCCAACCTCCCATAACTTTACTAAATTGGTTTAGTAGGAGTCAAAATAACAACTTTATTTCTAAATCCATTCTACCCAACTACATTTATGGCATTGCCGTGTAAATGCATACAAAACAATTCATAAAACTAGCTTACGATTCATGCTAGAAGCTCATAAAACTAAACGATCATAAAAATGTGCGGGCATATTATTTCGTAGGGCAAAATGTGAAAAATGAAACTAAAAAAGATTGCTCGTATCAGTCCGAAGTCATCATTGTTCCACTGCCCTTCAACGTCCCGATGAAAAGTTTTCGATAACAAAAAATGATAAATGTTTAAAAAAAAATAATCGATTTCCTTTTTCTTTTTTATTCCCCATACGCTATCAAAAATGTCTAGTTAAAAAACCTGAGTTTTCCCGAAGAAAAAGAAACCACCCGAGAACAAATGTTCCGCAATTTTCTTAGAGAGTTGGAACTATTACGTACGCTAGAAAGTTACATTTTAAATTAAATAGATATAATCTAAGCGATACGCTTCTGATAAAATTTTGGCAAACAAATGGTATGCAAATTGACAGTTCTACCTTTGAATTATTCACAATTTTTGTGATTAAATATGCAACTTGCAATTTAAAAAACAGAGCATAAACTTTAGCACAATTTTCTCTGGTGTAATTTATGTAAGAGAACTAGCCACTCTAATAGCTTTAAAAATGTACAAACCCTTCAAAAAAATTGAATAAAACTCTCAAGTACTCTTGATTCTATATGACAGTGATGGCAAAAACTGGTGATATAACTTCAAAAATTGCATTGCACCGGATATCATAGATCCAAATTGTTAACTTGAAAAAGATTGGGTATAATTGACAAGTTGAACTTAGTATAATTGTCACGCTGATAGTTTTGATACATCAATGAATTTAAAAAATTCATTTGAAAGGACATTTTTTGTTAAAAAAATGTATGTCATTGTTCTTACTGCTTCGCCAGTTTAATTACTCATATGTTTAAGCTTTATAAGGTAAAAGTTTCAAAAGAGAAAAGGGCTAACCGAGACATTTCAAAAATTTGACCTAAGATATTACTAGTCGCGAGCAGTATTTCGCAAATTTAAAAAAATGTTTCATAAAATATCGAAACAACCCAATTTCATGGAAAACAAACCAACTTACCTTATTTAGACAGTTGAAGTATTTGAACTGCGAAGAGCTCAAATTTATCTCCTTATCAAAAATTAACAATTGCTTATTCTAACCACTTTGGAAAGAAGGCAAGCACGGAGCACGATCTGAAAAACAATAGTACTTGGAAAAATAATGAGACTGAATACTCAACGCTTATGTTTTGTTTGCGAACAATATTCCCCTGCTCAACTCGGGTTTGAATTTCATCTGGAAAATTCCGTTCTTCTTCCGCTTGTGGGACACATTCGTTTTTGCTTTCTTTGATTGTCGTTATTTGATAGTCTGAAGAGAAAAAGCTTTTTATCGCTTTAACGATTTTTTTTCAAAAGCTATCAATTGCTTTGTTGCTCTAGCTTTCAGAGAGGTCAATTTTGAAAAATGTTAGATCAATTATGTACACCTAAGAAATATATTTAATACAATTATTGATTATAGTTTTTTCAAAAGCTGTTAAGTCTGTCTAAAGATGGCCTGTTTATTTCTATAATTATGACTACTATTAAGATTATTATTATTGCTATTATTACTATTACTACTATGATTATGATTATAAACGTCTCAATAAAAATTTTAAAAACCCAACCCCATACATTTTTCGTAATACTTGTTTTTTTATCAAACAAGAATTTCCATTATACCAGTTTATATCAAAAACAGGAATTAAGCTTCATACAAAGCACTTTTATTCAATTTCAATTCAAAATTGCAATTTTCGGACTCTCACAGATGAAAAAAAGAACTACAACCCAAAACATTTTTTTTCACACTAAATCATTTGCCAAAAATTAACGCCATTTGTTCGCATATAACATATTACAGCACATTTAGTGGTGATTTCCATTGCCAAAACAAGTTTTTCCCAAATTCACATTAAAATGTATTAGAAAAGTATTCCTATAAATTGAATATTCAAAATTCCCCATACTAGCCATATTCAGTCTTATATGATCTAGTTCAGAGCTAGTTCAATGCACAGGGGCGAAGCAGCATATAACAATCAAAAAAGTAAGCATTAAAATAGCGAGCAAACACAACCAGAGATGACGCAGACATTCGTTCCACTTTATATCCATCACAAGCATAGCATGTTAAGCCAGTAAAAAAAACTAAAACTTTTATCATTTCAAAAAACTAAAACATAACAAAAAGGAATATATACAAAAACAGATTGGGTAAAATTACAAATTACAAGAATAAATCAAAATGACTTTTGAATTGTGCGCAAAATGTTTTATGTCCATGACATGTCAGCGGCAACTAAGCAGACAGAAAGTAGAGAAAAAAGGATATGATTGGTTTTTGTTGACCGGAAAAATTTTAAGTTTGCAAAAAAAAACAGGACCTCTCCGCATTCAAACGAAGAAACTTTGTCAACCAGAGAAAAAAGGATATGATTGGTTTTTGTTGACCGGAAAAATTTTAAGTTTGCAAAAAAAACAGGACCTCTCCGCATTCAAACGAAGAAACTTTGTCAACCAAGACCAAGATGATACCGCTTGGCCGAATAAGTCGAAGAAATTGTGAAACTTGATTTTTAAAAGAAAACAATCGAAATTATTCGATGATTCTGTTAGACATTTTTTTCCATAATAAACGTCTTTTTTTTCCAAAATTATAGCGCTTGCAAAGCGTTAAGATAAGTTAAACACAGAGGCGAATCTGCACTTTGCAAATTTTGGCTAGAAAACGACAAAAAACTAGCTCTATCAAGCGAAATAAAAAAAATTTAAATAAACCCGAACTAATAAAATTCGGCAATGTGTCGAATTCTTCCTGCAACCTCAAGATGAAGAACCTCCCGCACTAAACACTCAGCCACGGACGCTTAAAACTCACAAAATCTAGCCACAAACAAAGCAGAGAACAGATGCTATGAAACTTCCAGATCGTCATTATTGCAAAAACTCAAACAAATGAGCTGTTTTATTTGCGAGTAAGATTGAAAAAAAGAAGGGTCGTTCTAATACACTATGCTGGCTAGTGTATAAAAGCTATACAAACAAAAAATAGCTGACTGAAAACTTCTAGTTGTATAACTCCGGTTTATGAAGCATTCGTCTTCTAACAGAGCCAAATGTCATAGCTGCCTTAACTAATAGTAAACACTCGGTTCGCTAATTAAGTGGATGAGCCCAAGATACTAAGTCCCCTATCAATGAAATTAAGCACAAACAAGATCGAGTTAAGGTGGCCACAGAAGACACTTTGCATGAGGAAACGGACTACAATTATTTACTACCTAAATGAAGGTAGATTTCAAGACACTTGGCATGAGGAAATAAAGCCGGTAACCTTTGAGCAGACAGGTTGCGCAGAAAAAAATATAATTTCATAAAAAACCTTTACAGTTTTAAGTCCCACCTGATACTAGAACGAACAACACTTGCACTTTCAACTACAAAAGAAGTTGCCTATAGCACACGAAAAGAAAAATCAGTGATAAGGCAACTAAGCCGACAATCTTTGAGCAGACATCTGTTGAGCCGAAAAACAAATTGATTTTTTTTTAATTTAAAAAGTTTTAAGTCCACCTCCCTGAACCTACAAAGAACTATACTTGCACTTGCATTGAAAGTTGCTTACAGGACAAAAGGATGGGACAACTTAGCCGACATTATCGATGGGACAACTGAGCCAAGTGGGAAGGAACCTGGAGGTTGAGAAGGTTCAATAAAAAAGCAAGTTGATGAAAATTTAAATTGTTTACTGGAAAAAGTCTTGTTCCCGATTTCAAGACACTTGCTCTCGCAAGTGTAATAATACCTGATTTTGTCGAAGAGGAATTTTTGCCCTCGAAACAACATAATATAAGTTCATTATGCCATAAAATACAAGCTGAAACCGCTTAATTGAAAAAAAAACTATATACAAAAGAAAATTATTAATCAGATTTGGTAAGAAAAGCCATAAAAAAACAAAATTATTTAAAATCACACTTGGTTAAATGACAAATTACAAACTTTCAATAGGAGAAAAAAAAACTCAAAATAAAAAAAAACTTGCTTAACAAAAAAGCCCAAAAAAACAAGACCAATTAAAACAAATTTCATCAAATTTCTAACGGGAATGAACCGACGGAAACTAGGCCGAAAGCCACGAACTGGAAAAAAAATAACACTTTTTCAAGAAAATTATTTAAACAAAGAAACGCCGGAAACGGACTACAACCATTTACTACCTAAATGAAGGTAGTTTAATTTGAACTTTCAAGAAATCGAGCATGTCTGAAATTGATCATGTCTCAAACTTACCATTCCTACACATTTGATCATTCTGCGCCTAAAATTATTTACGGGAAAAAATAAAGTGAACCCGAATCACATTATGAGCGTTAACTGTGCAAAATAGCCAAAAAATGTTTATCTGAAACTTAGATTAACTTTGTTCTTCAAACTACTCATGGTAGTCAAAAATTAGAGGGAACATTTTCAAATTGTCTAAACAAGTTATTAGCTACAAATGAAAACTCTATCTTATAAAGTTTATTTCAACCTAAAACCACCTTTCCTATACATCAAGAGCAAAGGCAAGGAAATTGAAAACAGCAAACTCGTGATTATGACAATACTATTCAAATTTTTCCAAGAAAAGTTATTGCATGACAGTTCTTGCATAGCTGTTAAAATCTTTGACGAAATAGACGAAACATCTGCATTCAAAATTGTAGAAGTAACATTTCTTTCAATTATTCTTCCGTGCATGCTAAATTTAGAGGAATCTATAATTTGGACTTTGACCCATGTTCCCATCAACTCTTCCTTCATCGGGATCAAAACTTGTTCATAGCACTTATTGTGTCCAATGTAATGTTTCTTGTCAAAGGAAACATCAGTCACCAGAATGTAGTAAATTTTCCCTTTTCGTCCTTCATAAGGATAGTAAGCCTTGAACAACGAACTCATAGCAGCTGTTCGTTTCTTGATAGCTTGTCCTGGAATCTGCCTCATGAAGGCAGCCGGAGTTCCGGGTCTGGGGAAAAACTGGTTAATGAAAACAGAAGGAAATTTGTATTTTCTCAGTAATTCTAGAGACTCCTCAAAATCTTCGTCTGTTTCAGTTGGGAATCCACATATGAAATCAGTTGCTATGGTAACTCCAGGAACTTCTGCTTTCAGAAAATCAACAATTTCGCAGAAATCTTCTTTGCAATATTCTCTTTTCATATCTGTTAGAACAGCATCACTTCCACTCTGGACAGGGACGTGCAAGAAACTATAAAAGTTCTTATGATTCAGAATAATTGCGATTTCTTCTAGGTATCTTCGCATGTACGGTGGATTTGTCATTCCAACTCGAATCATGCAATCGTCAGGAGTTACATCCAGGAGACTTCTGAGGAGCTGTGGTAAGTTGGATCCGATGTCCAAACCATAGGCACCAGTATCCTCACTAGTGATCCACAGTTCCTTGCAACCTTGCTCTTGGAAACTGACTCTGGCTCTCTCTACTAAGTCTTCCACTGGATAACTTCCCAGTTCTCCTCTGGCATGTTTGGTTTTGCAGTAGGTGCACCTAAAAAAAATAAGGAAATTCAAAAAATATAATTTCTAGTGCAACAATTTTCGTTGAGTTTCATTTCAGAAATTGCGATTCTTAAATTAAAAACTCAAATAAAAATCATATCGAACAATGAACTCAACGCTCTTAATCCAATTGCTACCAAAACAACTGCGTGTTAATAAACTTTTAGCTCCCTCCGACAGCACTTCTTTCAAAGGCATCCGTATTTGGTAATTCTGACAGCGAACCATAGACTACGACAGTAATTTTTTTTCAAACGAATCCCCATATGAATCCATTTAACTACTTATCCACCTGTTTAAGCACCCAGTGTTGATAGCCAGTATCTCGATCAAAGGGTTCTTCCTGATCTTGGGCAGATCCAGTCTAGCTCCGCCCTGCTTCTTGCCACCGCCGTTCTTTTTACTGCCAAGTAATTGAACTGTATGCCCTAAAGCAGTAGTATTCTTTAATTCGTCTAGTCCTACCATTGAAGGCACCTTGTGATCAATGTGGTTGGCAAACAACAAACATAGTCAACAGACAGTTGCAATAGTGTCAATAAACTCAAGTTGCGATAAACAGGTTAACGCCATAAAAAAGTAAACGCCAGATTTCAGGCGTAAAAAATTACCGTAAAATTCAAAAATTAAAACTTTCGAGTTTTAACTAAAACTAACTAATTACCATAAAACTCTTTGAATTTCATGAAACTTTTATGATTGAAAACTTATTAACTCTCGAAATAAAATGTTTATTTCGAGAGTAGACATGGTCGTGCCATTCTCTATCGCACTTTTGAATCATAAAAAAGCCAACTGACAAACTTGAAGCAGGTAAGGATATATAATTTAATTGTGAAAAATTAATATATATAATATAATAAAAATTAATAAATATATATACAAAAACTCAAGGGATGTATATATCAGTTTTTCTCGAATGTTTGCCATCAAATCAATGTCACTTTTCCGAAAATGCTCATCCACTACTTTCTTTTGACAAAACGCGCATGAATGGTCCTAGAAACTTCTTTGAAATCAATTACTCTATTTCACAACCGTACTGAGGCAACTAAGCCAAATATTATAATGCTACAAATGATGGGCCGACGATTATTTTGTTGATGCAAATAAATACCAGGTATCAAAAAACTCGTCCTCGCCGGATTCAAAAATCGTCCAGGCCAGATTCTAAAATCTTCGTAATTCAGAACTACAATTTAAATTTATTATGAAACAAGCTATCAAATGATTAATGGATTCCCTTGGACAAGTTGTTTACTTGGAAAAACAATCCATGTTGGGATTTTACAACCTATGCTAATCGCAACCGTAATAAACATTACACAATTTGAGAAAACTGGAACCCCTGGAAATTCGGTAAGTTAAAGTCCAAAAACTGAAATTATAAGTCATTTAAGTTTTTTTGCGCCATTTTCAGTTTCGTAATTGGAGAGTGGATTAAGCCTTGGTTTTAGGAATTGAATTTGAATTGAACTTCAAACGTCATTGTCTTCGTTTTAGCAACTGATTTTGAATTGAACTTCAAACGTCAAACTCAAAAGCAATCGAACATCAAGCCACGAAAATTCATACCACCTATATAAATGTTTTAAATACAGTCAACAACGAAAATTAAAAGTTTTTCCTGAAACAACAAATACGACCTAAATGAACGCCTTCTTATCGTTTGAAGAGCGATAGTTCAGAAAATTTTGGTACCTATTCCTAGATTTAACTCGTAACACGACAACACGCAAGAAAAGACAATTCGCAAAAATGACAACTGTAAAAACTAGCAATTCTGAAAATTCGCAAAACGCGATGAATCCCAATAAACTCGTAAGACAATTTCTTAATTATCCCTGAACCTGTAATCCCCACTAAAAATCAATTAAATTTATACTTAATTCAAAACAATTAATGCGGAAAACTGAGTCTTTTTTTGTTCGTTAACACCAAAAATTGAGTCCAAAATATTGATTGCATTAATTGGCATATCATAATTCTGCTTTCTAAACATGTTTTCACTCTTTCAAATGAATTAAATTCACTACAAGTCAGCACGGAAAACGAATGTTAATCATTGGAGGTGAAAAATTTAATGAAGTTCGATTTAATGAAAAGCGGGTTAACAAAATAGGGATGCTCAGAAAGAACTTGCAAATCACAAGTATTCACAAGTGATGATTTATTTGTGCAGAAAAAATTGGATCATTACATTCAGTGTTACCTCGTGAAGAAGAATTTAAAAGTAAGTTTCCTACAACTGTCTCAACTTTTTCGCATTTTTTCAATGAGAAATTCCAAAAAAAGGAAAAAAGCATGAAAGTTTAACGTGCATAGCAGTTAAAAAAATCGCGCAAATGTCCTCAAAAACAAACATCGACAAATATTTTCTTCTTGATTAGAACTCGCGGTTGAATACACAAAAGAGAAAGTGAGATCCTTTATTGAGCTAGCTCTCATTCCTGATTGCGACTTGAAGTTCGCACCAGCTCTCCACGCAAAAACAACTGAAAATGAGCAGCTCCGGTCATATCTCGATTATTTTGAAGAAAAAAACGTGGATGGGTAATATATCCGTGGAATTCTACGAAAATATCTAGATTTCAAAAAAGCTATCTGGAATCAGTTCAACAATGCGATATATGAAAAAAAACCAACCATTCGGTGAAAGGATGGCATAGAGATTTTCAATGACAAAATGGGTTATGCTCGCCCCACTGTACCAAAATTCATTCGGCAAATAAAGACGGAGCAAAGTTTAAGCAAAAATCTCCAGATTCGGCTCAAATCTGGAGAAAAGCCCTATAAAAGTAATAAATATGAACAATTGTAACAAAAGATATCAGAAACTCTTACACAAAGGCTAAGTTTCACTTCGCATACACAAGCTACAATATGAGCGATAACGCTACTGGGAAAAAATGAATACTTTGACTCTACAAAACTTCTTAAGTGACGCAAGCCAACTATGAGTCTACAGAAGCGCTAAGTGACGCAAGCGAAATATGACGCATTAGCAGTACCAGTCAAATTGAAAAACAAGAACTTTACCAACTAACATGCCTCAATTTAAAGAGCGGACGCATTTAAGCTAGCATACGAAAAAGTTCATTAAAAACATCCGACCCTGCCCAGGTTTGAACCCTCTTATTTTGTTGCGGGTTTCCTTCCCTAACTCTACGCTACAAATCCATGATACCTTGAAGCTAAAGTGCTATTTGTAATATAATAGTCTGTGTTAATATCCTTAGCATTGGATGTAGTTAATAGCTGGTTATTGATCAAAATGAACACAATTTGTCGCAACAATATTTGCGTCGCAACAATATTGGAGACTTAGGTTGGAAAAAAAGAGGGTCATGCTTTAACATGATCTAATTTTGCAACTGGAAGCTCTACCATTTAACTTTGATCTGTAAGAACCCTGTTTTATACCAAGAAACTTTGAGCTTCACAGGCTTTTACCGCTTTTTTGTTTCACTTTTAGATAAGGTCAATTTAATTTTCTTCTGAATTTTATACGAGATGTTTCTTTTTAAGCGTTGTATTTTTCTGAAGATTTTCCGAGCTGTCTTTTTTGGCAAGTTGTCTTTTAATGCAAGTTGTCGCGGTACCATTTGAACTACAAACATTCTCCAATAAAACCTTTCCAGAAATATAACTACATAAAGCAGCGCATCTAGCAGTGACAAAATTATGGAGAAGGAGCAACACACCGGCCCTAACAGAAAATAAAATTGAAACTCAGCCACAAAAAAACTTCGGGAGCGGATCTAAGGGAGCGGATCTACGGCTTTCTCAAAAAATAGAGGAAAATTATTACTTTTAGCTCTTTAAACACTTTTTCAGCTCTTTAAAAAATTTTCTGCACCACTGGCATATTTTTAAAAACAAGCTCTAAAAATGCACATTGTGTGATGTTATCACCAAAACACTTGTGGTTCCGGCGCGCGCTTCATTCTCCTAATTAATCCGCTTTGGCGAAAAATTCACAAAAGGAATATATAGTACTTAAGGTATGACCATTTGGATGAAGTTAGAATACCCAAGGGGCTGTGGTCGTCTCCATTCCCCTTGAAACCCTCACTGGTCAAGTCTTTTCAAAAAATCACCCCACTTGCCTTTAATTGCATGACAGGTATCATGGCCGGGTATTTATGACAGATAAAATATAACCAAAACAACCAGATTGCGTCAGAATACCAGCGTCTACTGCTGGTACTTGAATTGTGCATACCGTAATGCGATAATTAAACTACGTACCCTTCAGAGTCTCCTCGACCACTTCTACAACTCTATCGATCTGTTGCACCCCCACTATACTTAAGCCCTCCAGGTAGGGGGAGTTAGGCTCACTCTGGGCCACACAGCCACTCACCACCACTCCCTGGAAAACAAAACAAAACATCCACTCAGTGTTCTTCTCCAAATGCACAAGTATAATAACGTATTTCAAGAGTCTCACTCAGTCTTGATTCAAAGGGAAAAAAACTGTTTGCGCGAACCGAGTCAAATGGGCCACCAAATTGTAACTTTCAGCGTAAACGTTAGAAATTTGTTTAAACATGGAAGCGAATAATAGCGAAACATAGCCAACTGATTGTTGGAAGCGTATCTAAAAACTTGAAGAAACCAAAAAAAAAATTCCTTAGCACAAAAAGTTCCAAGACTCTTAAAAAACATACAACAGTTTTTTTTTTTTTTGAAAAACTATTTTTTAATTTTGTCATTCATTTCTCAAAAAAGATAGCCAATTAAATTCGTTTTTATTTTTATTTCCCTGATAACATCTAGCACAAAAAACGACTCAATTATAATAGATAAAAAACAGACAATTGGAAAATACTCAATGAACGCAAGGAGTCAATCTCATTTATTCCAGTCTTTTCGGTTCGAAGCGTTCTAGTTTCTAATTTCTATGTTCGAAGTTCCTACCTTTCCTCGATTCTGTCCCTCGTGGATGAAGTTGCGGAAGTGCATCTCGGCAGGACTCTTCACTGTGCAGCTGTTCAGCAGCCACAAATCGGCATCGAACCTACGCGAGAACGCCGATAGTAACATACTTTGTCTTTCATATTTACCTACGAAGGGGTCTCATCCTGCTTTAAACTTTTCACGCATCGCAAGTATCATAATGCATTTTCAAATAGGTTTAGCGCCCTCATTCATAAAAGGCACAGCTGAAAAATGATTTTTGTCTAAAAAACGTGAGACTAATTCATAAGCTTGCATAATTTGCTCTTGAGGATACTTAAAGTGGAGTTTTGGAAGGTCAATTCCGGTTAATTTGTAAATCCCAAAATAACCAAAGTCACAATTTTATGTAGAACTTAAATTCCAAACCGTTCATCTTTTCTTGAAAAACCGCTTGAACTGAAGTTGTATGAACCCAAAGCCAATTTCATAGCGATGAGTTGAACTTCCAAAAGATCTGTCTCAGCTGTTATAGTAAAAAAAAATGCGTTAGTGTTAAAGTGAGAGATGGCACCATTAAATTTTGCTTAGTGCCTTAAACCCTTTAAAACTTTTGCCAGCAGCAAAACTGACCTTTCATCATCCTGTGTAGTAACAGTATATCCGTACTCGCTCACTAGACCCGCCATATACTCGCTGTCTGAATTATTATGAGCACACCCCCATGTCTTAACATAAACAACACCCACTCCAGGCGCATTCCCACAGACATCCCCACCCTCCTCAACGCCCTTTTCGTTTCCAGAAACATTACCTATTACCCCATTTGAATTTGATGTTTTCGTGATTTTGGGTAAGTTTTTATTGCGTATGACTTGGCGTGATTTTCGACTTTGAGCTCGGTTGGCGTTGAAATCTTCTAAAACAATCTCATTGGCATTGTCTTCGATGTCCAAAGTTCTGCCAGAATCCAATGTCATAATTTCAGATGGCGTTGTTCTGGCAAATTTAACAGATAACCTGAAAGATGACAATTTGTGGCAAAAAAAAAACAAAAAATAAGCCAATTCAATTATAACAAAATCTGCACTTTGTTTAAAATCGGCTATGGCGTCATTATTCAATGTTTCCGTAAAAAATGAGACAAAAATGAGAATATACTCAGCCTCAGCTCAAGAGTGGGGAGGCGAAGAGGTTGGTATTTTAAATACTTCGGACCGAATGACATTCCGAGCTATCCCAAAATGCTATAAAAACTATAAAAATGCTAAATATTTTGAGGGGGGAAAATTGAGCCGCAGACGAACTTTTGAAGAAAAAAACTGTCCAAAAACGAAGTTTTGGACACTTTTTGCATGATTTTGACCAAAAAACTACTTTTTTTTAAGGCGCGCATCTCCGTTAGAATTAGTTTATATTTACTTACGTCAACAGCACCTTTACAAACAAATGAGGGTCGTTCAGTATAAAAATGGATATCGTAAAAGAGTACCAAAAAGGCACACGTTGGGTGGTCATGGGGTTGCGTTACTGAAAGGGGCGTGCCCCTAAATACGCTACTGGATATAGTGATGATCCAACAACACGAAGCGGATTTGAACTATCCGGCTTTTAATTATTAGCCAAAATTCATCCATTTTAATAAATATTAGGAAAATTACTCTTTTAGAAACTACGATGCAAAATTTCTCTTTTCAAGATATTTCATTTCCGAGAAAAAATATTACGTTGAAGCTCTCTAAATGCGATATTTTACAAAAAAAAAGTGTCTGTCATTGATAGTATTTGAAATTCAGAGAAAAACGGATTAATAGATAATATTTTTATTCCGCTGTGAATTCAGAAAATTGAAGACAATTGAAGAAAATTGAAGGAAAATTATAGAACATTAAAAACAAATTATCATTCAAAACGCTAGAAGTCAAATTTGAGTGAAGAAATTCAATCCTGAAAAAGAAACAATCAAGACCTATACCAGTGAAAATCACTTCGTTCTTTTACACTTAGAAACAAATTGACAATATTTATCATTCCGTTCGGGATTCTTATAAAATTAGTATTGAGCGACATCCAAAAATCAGAAAATCTACCGATTAAAAAATCACATGGTATCAAAGCTTACCGTCACAGCCATGTACCACCTACATAGTATAGTAAACAGCATGGCGGCATTGAAAGCCTGAAAAAATTAATATTTTTAAATTTCACCATTCTGGCAACGGGAAATTAGTTTAGTACCCGATTGCAATATATTTGCTCTCGCAAAATTAACTCTTCGCAAGATAAATTATCTTGCATGAAAAATAATTAGTTTTTTGCCATGATTACGGTGGCGTTCAGAAAATTACGTAAAATTTGCACAGCAAATGTCTGCTCTTGTCTTATTATGTACCACTGGCAAACTTAAAAGTTATTTACGGAAAAATTTTATTAAGCAAATGCTTACAGGAACACTATTAATCTATCACGAATAAAACTATCCATCAAACGAAATAAACACATTATATTACAGATCAATAAAACTAGGATAGAAAAATAGAGATTTGATTCTGGCTATTAAACTTTTTGCACTGGGAACTCTTCTATTAAAAGGGGACAACTGGCACGTCGTTAGCTAAGTCAACTTTCGGCACGAAATTCGCTTCCGAGAGTTCTCGCACTGTACTCGGCGGTAAAGCAAATCCGCAGTGACGTACTTTGTAGCTCCATTCGAGTGCCTGAGAGGCTCTAAGAGCATGTGCCTCGTGATCGTGTCGCTTTAGCATTCCGGTTTTGAGTCGCTCCAGTTTCTCATTGTTGTCTGAGATCCAGCTCTGGAACTGGCGCAAGTTGTGTCGACCTCTGGAACTACACGCACGAGGCATGTCACTGTTCGGTTGCTGAAAAAAAATTATTGCTGAAGTTATGTTAAGTGAGCACAAATTATGTTGATCTCTTTGCTGAGTCAATTCAAAAGATATCAGGTCATTAAATCTCAAGACAGAAAGATATCATACCAAAATAACCCATGGCATACATCTCGTATTCCCAATTATAAAATCCAACAATTTAATATCAAAAGTAGGTTCTCCATCCAAAATGAATTTTTCTCTCATGGTCCTGTGATGTGGAGAAAACAATGGCAGCTTACCGTGGCAGTGAATGCGGGAGGGGCGCCTGCTTCGACTGACACATTGTAGAAGTCGTCTTCTGCCAGTATCTGACACACACTCAGATTAGCCGCCTGGTTCTTCTCTGCCAGGGCTGATCGAGTGTAGATGCGCATAGTCTCACTCTCACATACTAGCTTTAGTCGCTCCTGTAAAAAGTTCAGTTGAGGTAAGAATTTTGGTCGGCTAGTGGTTCGAGTCCCACCCTGACTCGTGTAGCATTCCCGAAGGTGAGGCGAAATTTCCCACTCAGTAAACAAACCAAATTAAAAAAACTAAGTTTACTATAGAAGATAAGAACATCGGGGTTTTATTTATCGGTTCTAATCATTTACTTACTGTTTTACCGCAAATTCTAGCGTAAGTCTTGGAGATGAAAATTAGGTTGGTATAAAAGATGGTAAATATTTGAGAAACAGACTCACCCTTTCTATTAGCTGCTGAATTCTCAATTTCAATCTTTCTTTTTCTTGTTTCTCAAACACAAGCTTTAGATCCTTGAACTGATCTAAGCGGTTGGAGACTGCCTTCAGTTTAGGGTAGTTATTCTTATGACCCTCTATCAAGTAGTTCTTCTTCACACAGTAATACTCCTCGTAGAATGGCTGCAATTTGGGGGGAACGGGGGGCAGGGAGTCCACTTGGTGTTGTCTGATAGTCTTTTTGAGTTGCAGGTAGGTGTAAATTGGGTTTGTGAATTTGTCGTCTGGGGGAGCAATTGGGGGTACTTCGAGGATACTATTTGATTTCGCTTCCTGCTCCGCCTAAATAAATCAGGTTAAGATTTTGTAGGCATTATATCATTCGATAGATTCTTACTATGAAAGCATACAATTTTAAGGCATGAGGGTAACAAAGGGCCAGGTCTATTTGTAGTATTGATTTTCCGAGCTGATATGAGCATCTTTTTAGCACATTTTTGCAATTTTTTCATTCTTTTCTTGAAGAAATGCTTTTTTTCTTTAAGGAAATAGTTACCAATGAATTTTAAGGTATTTTCAACAAAGAATTCCTTTTAAAAGGAACATTTCTAGAAGGTCCAAGCTCCTCAGTTTAGGCTTCGAAATCGAAAAATTACAACAGTGACCCAATCTAGCTTTTAGTTAGGTCTCGTATCAAACTTACTTTATGTTTGGCAAGTTTCCTCCTTTTTGGATGTTGAGGAGGCTCCACTGCCGCAGGAGGAACCGCAGATGAAGATGGAACACTTGCAGACGGACCAGAAGCAGTACCACAAGCAGATAGGCTTCCAGACACAACAGAACAACTTGCCTCCTTTTCTTCGTCTTCGTCTGGTTTAGATAAATTTGATGATTCGGTTTGCTTCTCATTTGAATTCGTTTCTTGCTCTTCAATCGCCGACTTAATTTCCAATCTGCTCACCACTGCTGATTCCGAGTTGCTCTCGTTTGAGATCTGCTGTGTCAGTGTCGGAGTTTGAGCGCGACTACCGACGTTCGACACAGACTCTTCTTTCAGTTCTGCAAACGAGGTACTGTTTCCCGAACTGCGAAGGGACGAACCATTGTTCGGTTTGCGAGTCCCCGAGTCGTTGCTACACGACGATGAATTGCTGTCTTCGTTTTGTAAGAAGTTCGGATCTGCTCCAGCCAAGTCTCTCTTGAGATGAGCATTCGATCTAAGCCCAACCAAAACTCAAAAAACTGAATTTTGAATACTTTTCTATGAGCAAGTAAACAGGGCCAGAAATTATAAGTAGCTTTCAAGCATTTTTTACGGACATAGTGGACAATTTTCCCCTGTCCATGTCGTAATAACGCCAATATTTCATTAAAAATTAGATGTAAAAAAACTTTGGATTCAGGCATTTCTCTTTCTGTAAAGCCAGGTATGAGATTCGAGTGATACTGACTTTCGAAACTGAGTCAATACAAAGCTGGAATAAAGTTGATCAACATAAACAACAACTGACTTTCTAAGAAAAAATATATCACCTTGAAGATCTTGTAATTTCAAGAATCTTTTATGATTGACACTTATTTTGATAAACCTGATCCAATTGCAAAAAGTAAGATGAATAGGTCGAATTTACTCCGCGAAAAAGTCTGAAACATTTTTGCTGTTCAATAGTGGAGTTTGCCTTAATTTTAACAAAGGAAATGAACTGAACTCAAAAAGAAACCAAAAGTCAACTCCTAAAAAATAATTTTGAGCCTGAAATAATTTTGAGCGTTCATTTGCCTTACATTTAGCATAAGTAGCGACCTTTAAGCGACTATTAGCGACCTGTCGAGAAGTAGCGACATTTTAGCGAATATTAGCGACCTGTCGCTGATTAACGACCGAGGGGTCACCCTGCAACAGACAGTTGCTAACTGTTTTTCAAATGACCGATTTTTTTCATAGAAAAATTGTATGGTCTTGGGGTAAGTTCTTTTAATTTCAAGATTCCTTCTTCATTGTCAATTCAGAAAACTGGATCGGTAATTAAGCTTTTCATTAATTGTCAATGGAGAGCATAAAATGCTTTCCATTCGGCTAATGCATTTGAATTGAACTTGAAAAACAATCAGACAGCAAACCGGGAAAAATCAAATTTGAGCGTTACTTTTCCTAAAAAAAAAATCCATTGAGACCTATATAAGGGTCGTCACTACGTTCACCGACTCTTGAAAAAACTTCAAAAGAACAAGTGTCTTTTTCAACTTGTGCAGTTTACTGAAAAAACTGAATGAAAACCTCACAACCTAACAATAAACTTACCTTCGTTCATTGACACTTAGAATTTAATTCCTTTAATACATTTAAACTCAATGCCCAGACAAAACGGTAAAAACAGAGAACGAGTTCTGTGATGTGCCCCAATATCAGTTGAACATAACCAACTAACAAATGGAAAAAAGTAATGGAAGCAAGAAAACTAAAAAAAAAACGACTTGTTTTTTAAAAAAAATTTCAACTTTTGAATTTCGAAAAATTTAGATGGCCTTAAAGCTCTTTGAATTTGTAGAACAATTTATGATGGACACTTTTTTGTTAAAATTAACCCAATTTGAGAAAACTTAATCAATAGGTAAAACTTTCATTTCACTGGGAAATCTGATAATAAATTTCCACTTTTGAAATTAGAAGTCGATCACGTTTTTCGTGACCTTTTAATTTTTGCTGTTCGATAGTGGAGTTTGCCTTCCTTTTAACAATAGAAATGGACTGAATTTAAAAAGAAATCGGGGATACCTAACAATGTCCTTTTTCCCATTTAAGCTATCTGGAACCCAACTTGAGCTGAAACTAAAGATAACCTACTTCGTGATATAAATATTGAATTATGTAAACAGCAATGGGGTCTAGGACAACAAGCCGACGGGACTTGAAGCCGAAATTAAAACTTTACAGGCACCTCAAAACACTATTTCATCATCTGTATAAAGTTTCTTTTCAAAATTTTTGGCAAGTTTAGTCTAATAAGCGTTGTTCAAGACAATGCACCATTTGTGATTGGCATTCGTTAATAACATCAGCCGGTTTTTGAAATGCATAAATTATAAACATGAAAAATGCCTTCAATCATGTTTTACTTTTCAACTTTCCGAAACATCCTTTGAAGGCTTAAATTTTATGAAAACGCCGATAAATAGTAAAGAAAGATCATGAAATTCAGAAATTCTTCAAAAAAGTTTTCAAATTAATCATATTTCACGACTTTATAAGGAACTATTCGGCTTGAAGTCCCTAATTTTAGAATTCGGCTTGCAATCCCGTCGGCTTGATGTCCGGCACCCACAGCAATGATATCAAAAAAATAAAACCGGTTGGATAAAACTACCAGGGTCTGTTATGGCGCCAAAGTTTTGAGCAGGATATATATTTTTTGTGCTATTAAGGCAAGTCCGAATAGTTTCCTAAAATCACATTTAGCTGAGTCGACAATACAATAGAGGCATCTAACCGAAGGGTTCTGGTAACCCGCGGCGTCCTTTCCGACTTTGAAGACCTCGAGACATCCGAGTCCTCCGCCGCAGCATCTCCAAGCGACTTCACAGGCGTCGAGCTTCTCTCGATAATCGAATTCGAGTTCTCACTTTCCATTGTGTCACTATTGCACAGCTGTGAGCTTCTAGTCGGTGAAGCTGTTCGGAAATGTGAAGTACTGATTTTCAAAATTATTGGCGGTTGATCTCCAGAACAATTTCCTGGAATACTAGAGTTTTGCGTCCTCTCGTTTCTGTTAGTTTTTTCAGCTTTTAACGACATCGTCGCTTTAGTAGAATTCCTAGTTCCGGTTCTCGTTTTGATCGAGCCTTCGTCGTCTTTCTTTGAATCGCCGTGACTCTCGGTATTTATTCTTCCCTTTCTTCGACCCGGTCTTTCACTTTCTCCATTCGCACCAAAATCTTTCCTATGAGCGGAGTTTCCTGACATAGTTGCTCGTTTCGGCGGTCGCCCTCTTTCGCCAGTTCCCGTGGTAGTATTCGTTGCCACGAAGTCTACGACAGCTTCGGCTCCGTCAGAGTACTTCCAGGGTTTCTTCCTTCTCCGAGGACCAACACCTCGTACTGCCGCTGCCTCTTCTTGTGCTGATGACGTCATTATATCGTCTATTCTTTGAGCTTCATTTTGGTCGTCGACCGACTGCTGTTCCGAAGTTTTTTCTGCAACATCCGGTTGATCTGGAACTGTATTCCCATCCGCAAGTTCCGAAGAAGTTTCAACTTCAGGCTTCAAATCATCCTGCTTGAGATCACCAGAGAGAATCAAGGTGGTTTCAACTGTACTCGCAGTATTTTCTACCATCGACTCCAACTCGTTAAGCGAACTTTCAGTCGTACTCATTTCCGTATCATTAGCAGGCTCTGATTTGATTACAACAGCTGCCTTGTCTACTGATTTTGACTCATCAGTTAAAACAGGTGCGCAAATAACTTCCATACTCGATTCCGTTTCACCTGGCGAAACTTGATTGCTTTGAAGTTTGTCACTATCAAGTACAGTAGAATCAATTTCTTTACAACCTTCACCGTGAAAATTTTTTATGTCCGTCAAATTATCCTCCTTTGCAACAGGGGACGTTTTATTTTTCTGAGGGATTATTTTCTCAGTAGCGATTCCAAAATTTCCCCGATCTATACTCAATTTCAATTCATTTTTCACAGGTAACGAAGGACCTAATTTACCAAAAGGAACATTAGCCTGTTTCGCCTCGATTTCTTGACTCACCGCTTGTGAATTAGCAGGTACTTTATCGGCTTTTTTCGGCCCATTTTTAACTGAATCCGCGGACATATGTTCAAGATTTTTGTCCAGTGCTTCCATAAGCTCAAAATCATCACGACTGGGCGTCTGAATACAGTCGTCTGCTGAAGTTGCAGCCATTAACCTGTCTCCTATCTTTATTTTAGGCAATTTTTCTTTCATTGACTCAGTTTTAACTGAGGAATTTTCATCTTTGACACTCGCTTTTTCGTCGTAATGATTTAGTTCGGTTGTTTTGCACTTCAAAGTTTCGGTTACTTTCGGAGCTTCTGTCGATTCTTTTTCCAAATCCTTTAAACTTAGCTTTGTTTCTTCTGCATGAGTAATATCTTTATTGGACGTCGATGTACCAACATTTTCGCTGTCCTCTTTTGGCGAAACCAATGCAACACTATCTTTTTTCGTCTTCTCTTTCGGGCTAAACTGAAGTGAACTCTTGGCTTCTATTTTCGGCTCAATGGTCAATCGGACAACTGGTGAAGTCTTTAATATTTCAGCCTTGGTATCCTTGACGTCCTTTTGTTCGGTGCACTGAATCGTCAAACTATTATCTACAGGAATGTGTTCTTTTGAACCCTGAGGACTTGAAGATGACTTCGGAGTAACTGGACTCGTATCAATTGACTTCATAAAAGTAGTTGGGCTTTGGGTTTTTTCGGCTTGTAAAGAATCAAGTTTGATGTCAGAAACTAATTTATCAGCAGGTTTAACCAAATCTTTGTCTTTCGGCTGCTTGGGTATGGGTCTACTTTCAACTACCTTTCCAGTACAATCACTAGAAGAATGCTCGCTTTTTTCTATATCTTTTTCTCGTTTCTTTTCCGTTTTTTCATGTTTGTGGGACTTCTCTTGACTAAGCTGTTTATCATGCGAGGATGTGATAGTGCTTTTGAACTTACCGACCGATTTGTCGTGACTTTTCGGTGACAACTTCGGAGATTTCACGACCGGATCCGGTTTGAACAAACGATCATCGTCCGATTTGCCTTTGATGATAGCTGGTTTCACTTTCGTATCAACTTTCAAAGGCTTAAGAGGCGGCGGTGCCGGTAATTTGCTCTTCGCTACGACACCTGATGTCCCTGATAAACTTCCATTTGCACTAGCTTTCGAAAACTCGACTTTTTCCAAGCTAGAATTCGATGCTGTTTTTTCACTCGCGGAATCCGATGAAACATCAGCTCCCCGTTTTGAGCTTTGGTTCGAATTTAGCGACTCTTCGCTGTTGCTTCTCGATTCATGCTTGCGTTTCTTTTTCGCCATTTTATCTTTCACTGCAATCGATGAAGAACTGCTATGAGTGTTGGACAGCTTCCTGTCTGCACTTTCTGGTTCTCGGAGCGACGAAGATTCTTTTCGTTGTTTGTCCTTATCTTTATGTTTATCTTTCTTCTTCTTCTTTTTAAGCAACTCGCCTTCCGCGGTTATAATATTGGGGAACGGAGGCGATACTTTCGGCGTTGACTCCGATGCTGTCGAGCTAGTCGATAAACTAGATCCTTGTCTTTGATAATCTCCACAAGAGGCTGACGCACCAGGAGTTGAAAATACAGCAGTACTCGTTATATTTTTACTACCACCAAGTTTTTCAACTTTTTTCATCAACACTTCAGTAGACTCAAATGATTTAGGATTTGATATCAAACCAGAGCTTCGAGGACTTTCGGCATAATTGCTTGTCGGTTTCATGTCCGTACAGGGTTGGGATTGCGTAGACTGATTGCTCCCTGGCTTCGGCAAATCAGATTCGGTCTTTGGTTTGTGTGGGATGCTTTGTTTGCTCTCTTGAGAGGATGACTTCTGCGAAATTGGAGGAGCTGCAGCTTTTTTCGGACTTTCTTTTTCCTCTGTATCCTCGTCGATAAATAACTCTCCGGGACTATTTCCTAGCTCGTCTTCACTTGAATTGTAACTTAAGTTATCAGATGCAGCCGAGTCGTGACTTTTCGTAGCTTCTTGTTGTAATTTCACAGACTTTGAATTAATCGGATCTTCTAAGTTTGGTTTACTTTTAGAGCCTGAGCTCATTTCAGTCACTTTAAGGTGCGTGTCCGAAGTTTCCTTGCTGGTCGTTGAACTCGAATCGGAGTTGACTTCAGTATTAGCCTGTGGGCGTTTTCGATCTGTTTCTTTATTCACGGCAATTTCGGATCGTTTTGAGCCCGCTTTTGTACTGAAATAAATCAACTCAATCAAGTTCAACTACAATAAGTTAAGTAATATCCAAGCAATTAGGTCAGGAACTTCACTAACGTTTTTATTAGGTAATGTAAATTCATAAAATGTGATAAAATCTCCGGTCTCATAATATCGCGAAAAAACAGGCTCGATAAAACATTTATGCTATTTGAACCGAATGTAGCCAAAATATATCGATCTTATACTGATATTTTTTCGAGCACTACCGAAAATAAGAGACAATAATCGATTCATGTTGATGGTCTGAACAGGCGGTCAGAATTCTCGTTGGCGGTAGGCCAGTTAGCAACAACATCATTAGAACGAAAACGAATTACCTTACCTGAAAATCCAGAAACAAAATCAAGCGTTCAGAAAACTGAGAATCGAATTAATTCCACGCAATGACGTAAATCCTCGTGTAAATTTCATGTAACTTATGGCGTAATTGGATTTTCTGATCAGCAAAAAATATGTTTAGAATTATTCAACACACTGAGGTTGCAAAACTAATGCGCCATATGCAAAATCAAAGCACTAGGGGAGAGAGCGGAGTAAACATTTTTTGTTGTTGAAACAACAACTAAAAAAATAGTTACAACTGCGCTTAAACATTCTCATTTTAATTTAGTATTTTCCCTGCAGAAACCATTTTTGTTAATCAAAGAATTTTAATTTGCTACCATTAAAAGGAAAAAAAACAGTCAAATAGCGGCCGAGTTGGTAGGTAACTGAAAAATACAACAGAATAATACATTTTTTCCGTATCAGTAGAAAAAAACGTCCTGTATCACTAGAAAAAAATGTCAAGTTTCATTACCATTCAAATCAGCAACTAGAGAATGCACAATCTCGGAATAAAATTAAGTCAAAACGAGTCAAATGTAAAACCAAACAGCGCTAATCGTCAGCTGCATTCATATATAACGGACGGGGAATTTTGAAACGGGTATTCCGTAACGTAACAGAACTTACTGCCGTTTTCAAATGAAGAAAAACAGTTTCAAATTAGACAGAGGAAAGGACGAATTAGACTTGCAGTTGAAATACATAGATAGTAATGGCGACTTCAGCCACTAATTGAGAGGGGACTTCGAAATCGATAAGGGACAAGGGGACGGGGAGACTGTATTTAAAAACAACAACGGCGTCATTTTGAATATCCAATTAAGTTCAAAAATTCGAAGATGAAACAAATAAAGCGAACATAATGGAAAACCTATGTCCAATCAAAACAAAAATAACTTAATCAAAAATCAATATTAAAACGCCAAAAAATCCTCAAGATTGCAGAAAACTGTGCAATTTAATAGCAGTTAATTGTAGAATAAAAACAAAGAAGCGTGGCCGGTAGAACTGTCTTACAGAAATCAGCCTCGATTTATCTTTTGACCTAATTTAACCGTCTATGCGGCGAGCTATTGAATAATAACCTATAAAAAATCCTGCGAAATAGTAGTAAAAATCGTCTGGTAAAATTTCTGTACACTTCAAAAAACAGGAATGAATGAATTGAATGCATGTATTCATTTAGGTATGTGCCTTTTTGCCGACACAATTTTGAAGTATACCATCATGTAAAATCTGTACATCTTCGTCAGTTGCGAAAGTGGTCAAAACGAAATCCATCATCTGTATTCTTAACTTTCGTTTTAAAAAAAAACTAAAAATATTTACTGGAAAGTGAAAAGAATTTCAACTTTATTCGTTTCACTTCTCAACTAATGTAAAATGAGCTGTAACGGTGGCACTTCATGGTTGGTGAGAATTATGCCAAGTGAGACGTGTTGTCCCCTAATTATTTAGTCAGTCACCGCTCCTGGATGGTGTTGTGAAAAAGGAAAATTCAGAGCTTCAGACCGCCAATTTTGAATGGAATGGCTGTGGGAATATATTGAAGCTGTAGCATCAGTCAGCATACCATGGAATAGCATTGCAGTTGCACAAAATAGGACAAAAGAGCACAATGAAACAGAATGAACGAATCGCTCAGCAGACTATAGTTGGTTGGTTTGTTTTAGAAGAGAAAGTATTACGTCTCTAGAGCAACTATAAGCCGACAATTTTAAAATTTTTATACACCCATTGTTTATACAACCGCTTGCGAGCGACAACACGCTATAACTTAAGAAACAACTGGATAACCGTGAACTTCATTTTACTATATCTCTACGAGTATCTGAGGATCGCACAAAGGGGAAATCAATTGACTTTTCGGCTGTTTTTTGTTTTCATTCCGTCTGATTCTATATGTTCACCATGCATAAGTATCAACCTCCCACAGTTCGATAAATTTCTTTGCTCATTCATGAAGTATCTTGTATATTTGGATTAATTAGCCAACTTAACTAGGTCTTGGCTTTAAGATGCGTCGGCCGAATGCACCCCAATATACCATGCTGGCAATTTCTTACCATCTCTTTGCAATTCTAAATGGCTGTTCTCCTCAAAGATGAAAAAACTAAAAGGTGGTGCATAATAAAAAATTGCAAAAACTCAGCTTTCACATGACGATGGCAGAACAGAACTGAAAAATCCACGTTTGCTCAATGTAAATAAAATCTACACCATGTTATACCTCGCGATGAAACAAATAACACTCTAATTTAAATCAAGCAGGAAACTGACAGACAAGTCTAGCTTTTCCGCCCACATGAAATTGGATTGCGAACGTCGTAAGAGAAATATCACCGACTCATGGTTGAAAAATTCTAATGAACACAGTAAAACACCATCACTCCATCACACCGAAAGGATTCGAGCCAGAAACATCAAATCGACATTTGAATCTGTAAAAATCTCCCACATCTTTTTTACACAAAGTCGAACTTGTGCTTCGCAAACACTAGCGAAAGCACGACAAAAAGGCAGCATTACAAAGTGCAAAAATAAAAAATAAAAATAAGCCTCGAGCTGGTAAAAATTTTGTTCCGTCTCGGATTCGCTCTTCGACCTAGAGATTATGAGTCTCACTCACTAACCACTCAGTCACGGACGCTTAAGAAACCTCAAAAATTAGCCAAAAATAAAGCAGATAGCAGATGCAATGAAAACTTTAATGCTACAGATCATGATTATAGCAATCGTGCCACCAAATAAGTGAACACTTTTAATGAACGCTTTTATTTGCGAGTTAGGTTGGAAAAAAGAGGGTTCGAACTAATACACTACGCTCACAATCCCATTAATGTAATAACATTCGAACGCTAGGTTCACTTGGGTTATTTGAGCTCACATGTTGCTTGTTATTTGAAGTGATTAGTTGAAATAGACTTCGCATTCAAAAACATTTAAAAAAATCAAATCATAAACTAAACCAATAGTTGATGAACCCAAATCATAAATAAAACCAAACAAGACTGCTCGTATCAGGGCGAAGCCCTAAATTTTCTGACTGCCTTTTAAGGTCTATGGTGCAGTAATGACATAAAAATCATATGTAATAAATTAATACATTTTTCAAATTTTTAATTTGAGAGTTTTTGTCAAAATCATCCCCCACACGCCATATAAAATAAAAAAATATATAGATTTCGATACTATCAACAAATCAATTATAGCAAATAGGATTCCTTGAAACAATTTGGAACGATTTCCAAGACGGATTGAATCTCCGCTCACGCGTTAATAGCGCGAAATAAATCGCGCGTTAATTGTCCCAAATTGGCAATCTTTAAACCCCCATAACTTTACGAAAGATGATCACAGGTGAAATATCTTTTAAAATTTAAGCTCCAAACAACAAAACCTTTGGAATGATATAGAAAAAATTGTCAAAAATGGCTAGTACAAAATTCGAAATTTGTCTGAAGAAAAAAACCTACCCCGAGCACAAATATTCCGTTACTTTCGTTACGAAAGTCTGAACAAAAATTGTAAAGACGTCAGCAATATTGAATTTTCAGCAAAACATTGACTGTTGTTTCACTGACTTTTATCCACTTCCATTTTGAAGTTAAATAATTTCAAACATAATAAGCATGCATACAACATACAAACATGGTAAAAAATGCTAGATAAGCAAAATAGATTATATATCTACGTTTTGTGGTAGTGGTGAGTGGAAGGGAAAAATAACAACGACCTAACTTTTACCTCGATCGACCACACTTGTAAATTACTCACCTCGGATCAGACGTGGAAGTTTTTGCAGAGTTTCTTTCGTCTACTTTGTCCATTTGCTTTTTGGGCTCTCCTGGAAAAAAAATCAAGAGATTCAGTTTGATTTTGATATCAAACAAGAAGCAGAGTAAAATAAAACGAGAAGAGCTGGTTTCAATGTAACACCGAAAATTCTGAACACAATAAACATAGCCAACAGACAGTCGGAAAAGAGTCATGAACACCAGGAAACAGAAAAAAAGGTAGACTTGTTTTTGGAGGAACTTATATATGTGGATTTAAAGCTCTTTGAAATTCTACAACAATTTATGACTGAATTTTCTGATAAAATTAACTGGGAAATCTGTAAACTATATTCCACTTTCTAAACAAGAAATCGATCACGTTTTTTGTGACAATTACACTTTTGCTATTCAATAGAGGAGATAGTCTTCCGTAAAAAAGGAAATTGCCTTCCATTTATCAAAAGAAATGAGCTGAGCTTAAAAAAAATCAACAACCAAACCGAAAAAAAACGGCATGAACAAATTTTAAAATTTTTCCTGAATTAAAATCACGAAAACCTATATAAGAGTATTCACTACGTTCATCACACAGTTGGAATGAGTCAATTAACGCTAGTGAACAGAAAAAGAACTGACTTTTTTGAGAAAATTTCAACTTTCAAACTTCAAGGATAAATAGGTGGTCTTTGAAAAAAAAAACTTCTTCGAATTTCTAGAACAACTTAAAATTGACACTTTTTAGACTAAAAAACGACCCATATTGAGAAGCTGGATCGATAGGCAAATTTTGTTTTCCTCTCGGGATCTGAAAACTACAATCCACTTTCGAACTAAAAACAGATCACGTTTTTCGCGACCTTTACAATTTTGCTGTTCTAGAGTTGAGCTTGCCTTTTTTTTAACAAAGGAAATGAGCTGAACTTGAAAAAAATTTTAAAGAGTCAAACTGAGAAAAATCAAATTTGAGCGTGAATAAATTTTAAGACTTTTCCGAGAAAGAAAATCATCAATACCTATGTAACAGTCTTCAATACGTTCATTCACTCTTGAAAAAAAATCCCCCTAAATTTCCTCGCTGACAAATGTAGTTCATTTTCAGATAAAACGTCAGCTTTGAAAACTTATCTGCATTTCGAGTAAACTGAAATTCAAATATGATCTCACGACTAAGGTTTCCAAAAGCACGTAAATCAATCCTATCGAAAAACAGACAAATATAGCCGATTAATGAGCAATTAGCACAGAATGTTCCGATCATAGTCTTAAAATACAACAAAAAAATGTCGCTTGTTCTGCCTGGTGTGATAAAAAGATCAGGACGAAAAGTAGAATTTAGGAAAATTTGACATTCATAGTAAACTAAGCAAATTGGACAACTTTTTGATTCCCAAAATAGCGCTAAAAAACTCAAAAAATATTTTTATTCGAGTAAAACTATGTTTTAGGGCTTAAATTAAGCATAAGTAAGCTATTGTAAGCCTAGTCGCTCGAAATTAAACGAAAAATCAAACAAAAATTTCAAACCGGTTTTTCTCGATACTGGAAAACTTTAAATTTTTTTCGAATAACGACTGAAAGGACTTTTATTTGATGTGTCAACTCACTACGATTATTATTCGTGGCAGCTGAATTTGCGTGGAAAACAAAAAACACCCAAATACAAAGTTCCTCCCCATTTTCAATAAACAAAAACAGAAATTACCAGAACAGTGGATAGTAAGATCTGGATCTTTGAAATGCATAGTTTTCCAGTTGCTAGCATCTAAACTGAATAGGTGGCTCAAAGGAGAGTCGTCCTTCACCAAACTGATAGCAGATTCTCCTAAAACTAACTCAGATTAGTTGAAAACCTGAATTAAAAAGCACATGAAATTAGAAAAACTACAAAAAATATCTATCAACCACCGAGAATCAATAGTTCCTTTTTGTGCCGTTCGTTAAAATATCAAAATAAGTATACATCTCAAAGCTCATTTTAATAAGGATAAAACATTTTAATATGCTGGCATTTCCAATTTCAGTTTAGTTCTTTACCGAGACGTTTTACCAAAATGAGAATGCTGCAGATGCACAAAGGAATCTACATCTGAACAACCTCATAAAAATAAGGAAATATAACTCCAATTTCCATTTACTCACCTGACTTATTTTGCCTACTCGGATCTCCCCCGTGTTTCAGCAGGAGAAGTGTGACGTCATAGTATCCATTAGCTGCACTGTCGTGCAGAGGCGTGTATCCGTCGGGCCCACCCCTTGCATTCACATCAGCTCCATTTTCCAGTAAAACAGATCCCACTTGTGGGTGATTTTTGAAGCATGCTTCGTGCAACGGAGTCCAGCCTTCAAACGAACAACGCATGCTGATAGGGACATTTCGCGTTTTAAAAGAGATTTTTTATTTGCATGATTGCATTTCAACCAGGGGCGGACTAAAAAGGATGGGGGTGGACGCTCCTCCCTGAGGGATTTGACCCCCCGAACCTAAGATTGAGATATCCATTTTTTGGTTACGGACGCTAAAAATTTTCTAAAGGTGCCTATGACGCCAATATAAAATTAATTTAAGAGAGCGCGCGCCGAAAAAACGCGATTTTTGGTAAATATTTTCAAAATTTTGCATGCCGCGCAGAAAACTTGGACAAAACAGGGTCAGTGCTTTGGGAGCGCTCGGAAAATCAACTTAGTCGACCTAAAAAAAAAGATCGACCAAATTTTCGAAAGTTTTTTGATAATCGCACCCTCGAGAAAATCCTAGGTCCGCCCCTGATTTCAACGTTAATATATTTTAGCATATGTTGTTCATTGGTCCACAATAACTTTTCCCACAACTTCCCACAATTATTTGTTCGGTTGTTATACCGTTATTTATTTGTATTCAAAAAATAATTGGAGTTTTTGATGAATAATGTTAGTTTACTGTCAACTTTCGAAAATCGCAAGGATATTCAGAAGCGGATCTAGGATTTTCTCGAGGTAGGGGGGCGGAGTTTCAAAAAAAAATCGAAAGTTTTGTCGACCTTTTTTTTGGTCGACTAAATTGATTTTCTGAGCTCTCCCAAACACCACTATAAAGACACTAACTTGACCAAATTTTGTGCGCCGCAAGCAAATTTTAGAAAAAGGCCAAAAAAGGCGTTTTTAGGCACTTTTCGGAAAATTTTGACCAAAAAATCGCGTTTTTTTTGGCGCGCGCTCCCCCATCAAAATTAGTATATTTTATGCGCCTTTAGAAAAATTTTAGGGTCATTCAGCCAAAAATGGATATCTCAAAATAGAATAAAGGAGGGACTCTTTGAGTCGGAAGGGGGTCGAATTCCTAGAAAAGGCGTCCGCCCCCTCCCCCCCCCCCCCCCCGCCACAAGGTTTTTTTTGTTATAATTTTTGTTCTCACCTACACATTTAAAAAATACTATTCTCGGAAACAGAATGTGAAATCTCAGAAGAGCTGCACAGCGGACATACCTGCATTATCGGTTGCATTCACATCTGCCCCAAGCTCCAACAGTTTTTTGACCTTTTCTAGATCCCCTTTTTTAGCCGCCAAATGCAACGGAGTCTCTCCCATTTGGTTCCTCTTATACAGCCCCCCTTTCCGACTGGGCGGGGTGGGCGTTGCTGCAACTGTCGAAGATGCGAACAGGCAGGAGGATGATGACGCGGCGTTCGATGTCGCTCCCGCTGGGCTAACGGCACACGCGCTCGAATTGGAGTGATCTAAAATTCGATGACCATCTTTGTTCAGCAACAATTAATAATTCTATCAATGCAGCTGAAGCTATGCGAGACAAAAGTAAAATAGATCAACTGCGAATTCTTTTTGACTATGATCTAAGAAGTGAAGCTGTAGAAGTCACAATCTAACTAAGAAACTTGCAAAAGCTTCATTATTAGCAAAGCGACCGTCATCGATTACAAAATGAGTTAATCTCGACTTCAACTCAGCTAAAACTTTACATCAACTGCAGACGAAAATCTGATTTGACCATTTAATTTGTAAATTTTAATGCTCTTACCCTCTGAATTTCTATTGAGGACGAAAGGGGAGCTATACATGAATTGGACGTAATAAAAATTACGCAAAATCAGCCAACCTTTCTGTATTTTGCAAATTGTCCGTATACTAAAATATTTTTAGCCAGAGTCGATATTAGTTTTCGAGCTGGCATTGTGTATGGACAAAGATTTTTTAATTTAAAAAGTAAAAAAGCTACTAGATTGAAAACTATGAAAATTTCCAATCACTGTTCCAATAGAAAAACAGAGCTTTGGATCATTTTTGCTGAATGATGAGCAATTTTTATCGAGCTGATAAGCCTCAGCAGTAGAAACCTTTTTTCAAAATTCCTAAACAAATGCTAAGTATAAAAGGTATAAAAAATTTAAGACTTCGAACCTAAGTTAATACATAGGCCAACACAAACGGGCATTACAACAGACTAGTATCAAATCACAGATGATAGGAAGCAAACATAGCCGAAAAACCCCATGAAAAGACAAAACGATCAGACTCCGGGAATTGAACTTCGAATTAAGAGTCAGATACTTTGAGCCACGACAAACCTTGAACCTTTAAATACGTCAAATACAAGCAGAGTGCCTTTTAACTATACGGATTCAGCCTATGCTATTTAGACCTCTGAATAGAATTTAAGCTGAAAACAGAAGCTGAAATTTAACAATGAGTTACCACCGAATGGGATTGTACTTTTGCCTTATCTTTAGCATTTGAATTTAAATGGAAATTAAGAGGAAACCAAAAAGCAAACCTCGAAAAATCAATATTGAGCGAGATAATCTTTTAAGACTTCTTTCTAAAAAAGCAAACAAATGAATAATCAACAAGTCTTGAATTCGTTCATCAGTACAAAGTCACGCAGAAATAATTCAATTTCGAAAATCTTTAGTTGATAAAAACTAACAACCCCTTTTGAGAAAGCTATAGATTTAATCTTCAACTTCGCTGAGAGAAGTAAAAAAAATCGGCGAGAGAAATCAATCACGAGTTATCACTCCGGGTGCACTTTTTTTATTAAACAGATTTTTAAAAAATCAAATCGCGCAAAAATAGACTTGAGCGTCAACAACTTTTAGAAATTCTCTTAAAAACAAGATCATAACTAACATACAGCTGGAAAAGAGTCAATGAACGCAAGTAAACAGAAAAAAAAACAATGACTTATTGTGTGAAAAAATCTCAACGTTCAAAGTCGATCATGTGTTTCGTGACATTTACATTGTTGCTGTTCGCTAGTGGAATGCCTTCGTTTTAATTAAAAAATCAACAGAACTTGAAAAGAAATCAAGTCTAACCACGAAAAATCAAACTTGAGCGTGAACAAATTCTTGAAAAAAAAACTAAATATATAATCATCAGCACCTATATAAGAGTCTTAAATTAGCACCTATCATCGATTCTGAAAAAAATTAGCATGACCAAACTAATTGCGTGCACTAAGTTCATGGAACCACTGAATGTGGCATAGCCTTGACATTTAGTTCGATATTCTTTGCTTTCAACAAGATTGACTTCACACTCGCTAACAAGATTCCACCAAATCAACAAAACTATAAGTCAGCACAGGAGTACGGAGGTCAATATACCTTTCTGTACTATTTCAGGTAAATTATTTTTGGAGAATTAACCTCATCAAAGTTATAGGACTCATGAAATGTCATGTGTTCATACAAGATTTAAACACCTGAACTAAATCTATTTCTTTGCATATTTTTCTTTGCATACGAATTTGGCAAATTTTTAGGTTTAAGCGGCAGTTTCTTTTCTTTTTATTCAAAACAGTCAGAGCAACCTTAAGTCCTACACTTTTCATCGAGTTACCTTTCAAGTCACCATCTCAAGTTGAAATGAAAAAAAAAGAATGAACACGCATGCAAAATCAAGCCGATATCAAATGAGCAGAAATCTGGCATACAAAAACTTACAACAAAAACCGACATCTGGCAAGAACAATCAACAAAAATGGGATGTTATTGTCACTAGCAGTGTGTCAAACTAACTGCAGCAGTAAAAACTCTGCTACCTAATTTGACAATAGTGCTTATAGCAAATACCATTAACAGAAACTTTGTTCCCGAATTATTGGCGTATCCCACAAACCCACCTCTTAAATTATATTTCTAATTAGTCAAATAATTTACCTGCACTCTTATTTAGTCAGAATTATTTACATTTTAAGAAGAATCTGTACTGGGGTAACTCGGCCCAAAAAACTCAGAACTGGAAAAGAAAACAGTAAGCTCACAGTTTGCAAAAAAACCATTTCGAGGCGGGGCTCGAATACTAGACTCTTGTCGTCCAAAGAACGTTTGCTACCTCAAAGTCCATATAATCAAATTTTTGTAAATTGGTTCGAATACCAATTAGCTCCAATCATATCAGTTTATAGAATCTGACATAATTGGAATATCAGTCTGCTCCAACTAGATAAAACTTGCTTATCACAAGTTCGAAAATAAAAAAAAAGACCACAAAGCATCATATCAAACATCAAAAGGAAAAAAAACAATTCGAAAAAAAAACAAGGATAACCGGTTACTGTGCAAGTCGCACAGAATGTTCCGACCATTCTTAAACGATTACAACAAAAATATTTTTTCAAAGTAGTGTACTTTTTTCGGCGTGATAAAAAAATCTGAGCGAGTTTAGGCATTTCCGTCAGTATTTCTAAAATATTTAAATTGGAAAACAATTTTTGAAGACAAATAACAAGAAAAACGAAAAAAAAAATCAAAAAATATATATTTTTTCAATTTTTCAAAATTTGTTACCCAAACTTTTGAAGTTCTTGATTCCTAAGATGAAGCTAGCAACTCCAAAAAAATCATTTGATAAAAAAAGAAATTTACCAACATGCCTCAATTTACAGAGCAGATGCATTTTTATTAGTATACGAAAAGTTCATTCAAAACATCCGGCCCTGCCCAGGTTCGAACCCTCTTATTTTGTTGCGGGTCTCCTTCCCTACCTCTACGCTACAGATCCATGATACCTTGAAGCTTAAGTGCTATTTGTAATATAAGAGTCTGTGTTAATATCCTTAGCATTTTCTGTACTTAGCATAGCTGGATCAAAATGAACATTTTCAAAATGAACACACTTAGGTTGAAAAAAAAAAGAGTTCATACTATAAAACAAGCTATGATTGTGTAAACACAGGAACTAATTATCTGTAATGTTTAGCCAAAAAATCTTTTCATGGATGAGCTACCGCTTGCTAATCGCAGCCATACCTTAATTTAACCAACTCTTTTCCAGCAAATCGAAAAGGCCTGTAGGTCAACCATTTGACGTCCATTAAAGATACTTAAAAGTAGCGAACATTCGAAGAAAGAAAGTCTGAAAAAAAATCAGAATTGTCTACCTTGGTGCTCATTATGCATTGATGAAGAAGACGGCGAAGATGCTCCAAATTGCTTCATTAATAACGCTAACTGCTGTCTCTCACTAATAGGCGCAGTCGATATATTACCATTACTATTGCCTTGCTGCTGGGTTTGGGGGGAAGCTGGTCCCGCTGATCCTGTCACGTATGGATTGGGTGATGATGTCACACTTCTTCTGCCACTTTTAGTTGCACTATTGCTAGAAGTGCTAGGTGTAGTATTGTTGATGTTTGCATTGGCTAAACAAGAAACACCAAATTTGACCACAAGCTGAACAAAGTTTCGAGCAAGTTAAATATAGACTTTCGCTCACTCTTAGATAGATTTATAAAGATACAACATGGTTGCTCTAAGGCGGTAAAGTTATGCTTACTTTCAAAGTGCTAGCTGCAATTGTAACCAACGCGCGTTCAAATGAATGCTAGTTGTAGCTCTGAATTGAAGGGAAAATCAATTCATTTTCCAATTTCCAGTTCAATTGAACTACTCAATTCAGTTAGGTCTCTAACCTGCTTTGCTTAGTTACCCTTCCAATCAAACAGTTGTGAACAAGTAGTCGTACCATTACAACTAACGTCTTTCAATATATACTCGATGTACCAGCATACGTATGGACAACTTTTACGCAATACAAGATATATATTCTTTGACTCTATGACCGCTTTCTTTCAGGCCAATACCAAACTAATTTCAATCACAAAACTTAAGAGAAGCAGATTTTAGAGTAGTTTAAACTATGCGTGTAGTCTGCTATCGATTAGAAATAGTTCAAAATTTACATGTACATGTTTCGCTATCTGAATTGGACGATTCTGTTCCAGTGATAGCCGAAGATGGATGTTTTCGTTTCAGACTTGCAGACTGTTTTCCGGTACTCTTCGCGACAAACCCGCCATCTGACTTCGAAGGCGTTGTCAGTGGTGCTGAGCTCGACGTTCGAGATACTTCCGAGGATTTGGTTGACCCATGGGATCCCGTTTGTTCTGGTGACGCTGATGCCCTTGTTGGGTTATGCAGAGACTTTACTGGTGTCTTGTGACCATTATGTGACGAGTGTTTGGATGATGATTGGTGTGATTTGCTGCCACTACAACTATTGCCACTGGAGCTATTGTCGTTTTTGGACGAATGACTAGGTTGAGATGAAGAAGGCACTGTGCTATTGCTACTTGAATTCATTTAAAGCTCTGAAATAGGACACACTTTCATTATTTAATAGCTGAACGAAAAATATTAGCTGAACGAAATTAATAGCTGAAATAAAAATTGACAAAAAATATGCCAAAATGCTATAAAAACGGTCTAAATTTACATTTTACATTGAAATCGCACTTTTTTGAAAACTCGGAGGCAACTGAACATCAAATGTTTTAGTAATTTTTTTCGCCGAATTCTGCGGTAGATTATCCGAAACTGGGAGTTAAACCTTCTCTATGAACCCGAGTTAAAGAAAAAAGCTTCAATGGAACAAAATTGTGGAGGAGAATCTTTGATATGGAAAAATTGAAAGCAACCAGATCTGGGGGATCGTCCTGAAAATTACTCTGATCTCCGTTTCCACCCTTGAGAACCAAAGACTTTCAATTGCTTCGATGTATTTCGCAGAATGAGAAGGATCTATGACTGAGGTTATTTTTTATGCGATTTACATTGAATTTAGAGCTAGCAGGATGGTGATCGAGTCGAGATTTATCTCATTTTAATACAACTAAACTTTCCGCTTAAAGAACTTAATGATACAATTTTCAATTACTTTTCATGCTATTCGATTCCAACTTCTAAAAGCTTAATTTCAATCCTCGGAACTTGTAAATAGCCAAAAAAACGTATAAAAGTATAAACAAAGAAGCAAAGCACAGCTTCAAACCACTTGCGATACAACATAAACATAGCATGGCAAACTAACCGACAGACGGAAGCCGAATTTCTTGTAAATGTCGAAAATAACCTAGATCTATCAAATATTTTGTGTGTATATTTCAATTTGTGTAGGATAACGTTTTTTTGTGAGGAACACATTCCACTTAAGAAAACGGACGGTTCGATAAGCATCATAACCAAACTTACAAAGCGGTAACAAAGCCAACAACACTCCGGCAGACAACCGTTGAGACAAAATCAAAAAAAAATAAGAACCCTTCCAAACACACGCGTAGAAAGTTTTTTTGATCAGTAATTGGCGCAACTTGAGCACACTAAACCGATATAATCAAAGTTGAAACATTTTAAGCCGAATAATGACAAAAAAAGAAAAATGAAATGATATCAAATCGTAAATGTCAAATCAAAATAAAAAACAATTTCCAAAGAAATGGGTATTTATAATTTGTCACGCTCAAAATGTCTTGTTGACGAAAGTGCAGATTTGAGAAAAAGATAAAGATTTGAGATTTTCAACGCCCTTCGGAGCAGATGCCTCAGTTGGTTTGGATATGTTGAGCGCACTCCCTCTGCTTCATGCATCAAAATGGCCAGTGAGATGAAGATCTCATCGATCAAAAGACGCGGGAGACCAAGAAACACTTATCCGCAAGACCGTATTTCATCGAGAGCTGCAGTTCGACAAAACCTAGTGCTGTTAACCCCATCTGATGGGACAGGGACAGCACAATAATCATGAATTGAATATGGTGATGATGTTGATGATGATGATACGCTGATTGTTCTTTACCAGGAAGTAAGTTGACATCCGATTTGATGACACTTGCAACTCGTCAGCAAAATGAACGGAAAAAACTTCTACCTAATGTTCGAAAAATTTTCAGTTCTGAGTTTTGGTGACAAATTATCTCTTCAAGATTATTTTGTGATTAGCATTTTAATAAAACAACTGACCATTTTGAAAAAAACTGCATCAATATGTAATGTTTTTTATTTCACTACACTATATAAAAAATTAAATCGACTTGAAGATAGAAGCCAAGATCGCTTTCACGCCTTGTTGTTCCGATCACTTCACTCAAAAAGAATGGAAGAAGCTATGGTGTAGAGTCCGTTTTTTCAACTCAAAGAACCATGGACAATCTATTTAAATCAGATTGTTCGGAACCTTCTGTGCAACTTGCCAGCAACCGTCTACCTTGATTTGTTTCGGAGTAAGACTTAAATTGCCCTACACTTAAAAAGTAAGTTAGAAGTTTTAGAAATTAAACTTAGACGGAATGAGAAATAATCTACCAATTAGAAAATTGAGCTGGAATGAAATTATGGACTATTTCATTCTAACTAAATCACGACCCAAAAACGAAGACACATAGAAATACTTAAATTTAAAAAAAAATAATTGAGCTTTGTTTTATAAGCCGCTCTTCCCTCAACAAATTCATTTGAACGTCAAAAAAAGCACGAGTCCAAACAAGTAAAGCTGCGTAAAACCTACCAATTGCCTTATTGTTTTCGACGCGATGGCGATACAGCCTGAGCTATTAAGCACCTGCACTCTCGATAATTCATTTTTATAATATCAAAAGTCCAAAATCAAAGTAGTGCAGGCAAGTCAAAAATTTTCTGCTCTAAAAATCATTGAAAAAGTGATTAATCGGAAGTAATTCTTTATCTGCAGAAACCAAAGAAGTTTCAAATTTTATACTTCGAGGTAACAGAAAAACAACAGGTACTGGAAAAAACCACCAGGGACTGGAAAAAGGACAAATCTCTGCATAATAATAACACAACTTCCAGCATTAATTTAGCGTTGTATGGCAAAATGTATCTAAGAATACAATAAATGGGTAGACGCCCATTAAGACGAAAACAAAATAAAACTGGATCCATAAGTAAAATTTTAATTTCGCTGGGAATTCTGAAAACTAATTTCCACTTTCGAAACTAGAAGTCGATCAAGTTTTTAGTGACCTCTACCTTTTCGATGTTCGAAAGTTGAGTTTTCCTCCTTTTAAAAAAGGATAAGAAATGAAATTAACAAGAAATCAAACTTAAACCACTAAAACAGTAATTTGAGCCTGAACGTATTTCAAGACTTCATGAAAAAAATTGATGCTATTTTGATAAAATTAACCCAATACCCAATTTAAGAAAACTGGACCACTAGGTTGAGTTTTTGTTGCGTTCGGAAATCTATAAATCAAATTCCACTTTCGAATCCAGAAGTCATTCACGTTTTTTCGCGCCATTTCAACGGTCGTGTTTGGAGAGGGCTATTTACGTAACTTTCAGCAGATGAGTTTCAATTGAACTCAAAAAGTTCATAAATACCTAAGTGCATTTATAAAGTCATTAATATATATGAAATCACATCTTTAATTTTTAGAGCATTTTAAAACTTTCCTGAAAAAAAAAATAAACAACAAATCACCAAGACCTATATGAGAGCCTTCACTGCGTTCAATTCTCTTAACACATAAAATTAGTGCTAAGTGCGGGATTGAACCTTCGACCAGTAGATTTAGAGTCTCATGTCCTTCCTGCTGCGTCGGCAAACACTAGCCACCAACAATGCAGAGAATAGATGATATGAAACGTTCAATAGTACAGGTTGTGATTATAGCAAAATTGCCACCAATTGAGCATTTCTATTTGCGACTTTGGTTCGGAAAAAGTAGTCATGTTCTTTGCCTATAACCTTCCCTAACACCAATGCATTTTACGCGAAAAAACTTCAAGCTTCATACCATTTCACAATTTCCGTCAAGACTATTATCGTATATTTCATACATTTTACATTATTTACAATCAAAATTTACAGATTAAAGTTTAAAAAGAATCAGAATCTAAACTGCTCATTTCATCTGCATCTTTATCTTTTAGCTCCTTATCGGGAATCTTCCCTATCCTGTCATGTTCAACTAGAATTTGTACCGGCGTTTCGTCGTAAATCCTTCTCAGCTCTGCCTGCAAGTGTTTAAAGGTAATCGAATTAACAGCTTCGGGTGAGAATCGAACACTAGCCGCTATGTCTATTTCATCATGAACGACAGACTCTTTTTGACATTGCTGAGCAATATTTGCAGTTTTCAAGGTTGCACCGTATTGATTATCATCTTTAGGATATAGCGAAGTCCCCATACCAACCAGAGTTTCTCCGTTTAGCGATTCCGATTCACTTTCTGAAGCTTCGTCCGAATCACATCTCGGCTTTATTTTTTGAGGCGGCGGAATTTTCCCTGTTTGTTCGACTATAGCTCGTGATGGATCTTCTAGAAGGTTAGGCCGTTTGTATTCTAGTGTTTCAGAAAACTGTGATGGTCGTTTTGAAAGTTTCGAGGTTTCTTGTAGAGTTTCTGGGTTGAAGTTTTTTGTTTTGTCGAAGGCTCTATAGTAGTACCACAGATCAAACAGGGACATCTTTTCTCCTAAAAATTAATTAAATTCGAACATAGCCAAATGACATTTGGAAAAGAGTAATCAACACAAGTAAACAGAGAAAAAACACTGATTTTGTTGAAAATAAAATAAATGCCCTTTACTCTCTTTGAATTACTAAACAATTTATGATTGGCGCTTTTTTGATAACATTAACCCAATATGAGAAAACTGGATCAATGCGTAATGTTTTTATTCAGCTGGAAATCTAAAATTAAATTCCACTTTCGAAACTGTTCACATTTTTTTCACGCCATTTCCATGTTCGTATTTGGAGAGTGCTATTTATGTCACTTTCAGCAGATGAATTTCAAATGAACTCAAAAAGTGCATATAAACCTAAGTACATTCATAAACGCCTTAGTATGCATGAATGAACATCTGTAGCTATATTAGAGCATTTTAAGACTTTTCTTTAAAAAAAAAACAAAAAAAATCACCAAGACTCTTAAGAACAGACTTGTTTTTTGAAAAACCTTCAAATTATGAAATTCGAAGAAAAAAATAGATGGCCTTAAAGCTCTATGAATTTGAGAAAACTGCATCAATAGGTAAAATTTTTATTGCGCTGGGAAATCTGATAATTAATTTCCATTTCGAAATTAGAAGTCGATCACGTTTTTCGAGACCTTTACTTTTTTGCTGTTCAACCACGAAAAATCAAAATTGAGCATGAACAAATTTTAGACACTATCTTGAAAAAAAAAACAAAAAAAAATCACCAGACCTACATATGAGATATTTACTATGTTCATTACTATGAAAAATAAAACATCATAGCCAGCAGACAGTTCTCCTAAATTTAAAGACTTCTAAAAAAAACGAAAATCATCACGACGACCCATATAAGTCTAAGCTACGTTCATTGACTCTTAATAAAATAATAAATCTACCTTAAACTAGAAGCCATTCACGATTTTAGCGCAACTAGCATTTTTTTTTTTACAAAAAGCGTTTATTGCTTTCAATGCAATTTGTTTCAATGCAGTTTGAATGTTTCGATGCAGTTGAGTTTGAGAAATAGACCTTCAGACATTGAATTTGGCAAAAAAATAGACCTTCAGACATTGAATTTGGCAAAAAAATAGACCTTCAGATATTGAACTTGAAGAAAAAGGATGAGAACTGGAAAAGAGCCACTTTAATAACAATAAAAAATAATCATAATCATAATAAAAATAATAATCACAATAATCATAATGATGATGATGATAATAATAACAATATTAAAAATAATGATTAAAATCACAATAACAATTGAAACAAAAATCATGATAAGTCATAACAATCATAAAAATAGCCAAGAGACAGTTGGCAAAGACTAAAAGAATACAGTTAAACACAAAAATACTAATGACTTATTTTTCGAACTTAAAAAAATGATGCCCCTAAAGCTCTTCTTATTTCTAGAACAATTTCTGATTGACACTTTTTTGAGTAAATTAACCCAACTTGAGAAAACAGTAAAGTGGAAGTTGCCCTCCTTCCATCAAGGAAATGAACTGAACTTAAGAAAACTCAGACTTTTCCTGAAAAAAAAATCGCGACCTATATAAGAGCCTGCACTACGTTCATCGACTCTTAAAAAGAAATCAGAAGTCAAACCGCGAAAATAAAAAAAAATCATCATGACCTCTATATGAGTCTTCACTATAACCATTGACTCTCAAAAAATGCTTCTCTCAAGAAAACTGCGATACAAAACTGAAAAAGGTACGTTTGATCATTCAATTTACGCTAGTCTACTTTACGAACAATGAATGTGATCCGAATGCACGCAATTTCCAGATAATTTTCAGGGAGTTTATTTGAACAAATTTGAGAAAGAGTACAGACAATTTACAAAAAAAATTACAAAGAATACATACAAAGAAAAAGCAGATATAAAAAAGATCAAAATCGAAAATCATAGAAAATCTAACGCCAATACTAACGGGCTCCTATTTTAGCTGGAGCCGATGCAGCCAGAAACTCTGAATCTGTATCCGGAAAAGGCGACTTGACCGGCTGAGTCTGAACAGTGTGTAATCCTGATTCCGATGACGTATTCCATACTTGTTCTTCCCCGTCGTGTAATTGTGTTCCATGTTCATCATTTAGCTCATCGGGAACTGCGTTAAGAGCTTCATTTTTATCAGACTTTATGGTATCTGGCTCGTCAATATCATCCAGGTTTTCCAATTTGGTTTTTGCGTTTTTATCCATTGCTATAATGAAGGAAACAGGTTTGCGAAAACGTTCTTTGAAGAATGAGTTTACTTACCAATAATTTTTTTCTACCTTTTATAAAAACAACCAAATTGATTAGCTCAGCTCTCCCAAATCACTATAAAGGCCTTATTTTGACAAAAATTTAGGGTCGGTCAGCCAAAAAAGGGTGTCTTATATTAGTACAAAGGGGGACCCTTGGGATCGGCATGAGGTCGAATCCCTGAGGGGGGTGGGGGATTGGGGGGGGGGGGGGGGTGGGTGGTGTTGTCTTTAAATCCACAACTGATTGTAAACCTTTTTCCAGCCACTTTCTAATGCGCACAAAGTATGTTGGATGCTTTAGAACACATCGCAAAATCATTTGGTCTATTCAAATTTGAAGTTGACTTTTAAAACCTCTTTTGTAAACAACAAACCTGATTAAAATTTAACTCAAAATCAGGCAAAAAAGACATTAAGCCAATTTGTTTCATGATTCAGGCCAAGTTGCAACGTAATTTATCATGCATTTATTTGGCCAAAATAGGCTCTCATTAACATGAAGTGACTAGGTTAAAATGACTAACAGTGTTCTTCAGTAGTAGCTTTTACTTTGGTCTCTGTTGCGGCATCTGCCAATTTGATCTTCCGATTGCGACCTTCTACTTCTATCTTCTCTGTGTGTACTATCCACCCCTGTCCTCTCAGCTTCTCAACTTTTGAACTAGAGTGAACCCACGCAGGCTGGCGCTGCTGTCTACAAATAGAAGCTATTTTAAATTATTCATTCCAGTTAGCTTTTGAGAACATCGGAATGATCCCATATCGTAAAAAAAGGAACGCTTCATGAATGAGCTTACAAAAAATTGAACAGAGCGGCTGGTTGCTCAAAAGGAAGCCTATATTCTGAAACCAGTTACTAAAGCAATACACTTGAATAAATGCGAAGAAAAATTGTTTTCTTTAATCGGGTAAACTCCGCTTATGAAGAAACTCTTTTAAATGTTCGACACAGTGATGTTTTTCGCATGCAAAAAATCTGCATTTAGGTACTCCAAAAAATAAAGTTTCAAAATAAACAAAAAAGGCATTGAAAATGAAAAATTCGGCCACTACAGTATGTATGTGAACGACTGCTCTGAGATCTTCAACGCGCACAAATACTCGCTTTCCCTATGATTGCTCTTTATTTAAGCGAATAGTTCTTGCTTAAAAGAAATTCAACTGTACGGCATAGCAGCGAAGCAACAAGCGAGAAAACTACTGTTAAAAAAAGTAGACCCATTTTATCTCCCTACACTGCCCAAATTTTTATCAAATTAATTCAGAAAGGTATTTATGCTCAAATTTTTAAGGTAGCTTAAGTAGTGGCAATCCATAAAGGTGGCAGCCTAGATAACATTAATAATTATAGACCAATATCGCTCCTTAAAATTTCAGGCAAACTTTCGAACGGCTTCTCTACGACAGATTAGTCCATTTTATAAATTCGAACTCTGTGTTTTGTAAGGAAGAATCCAGTTTCCGCAATGAAATGCCAACTACTGATAAAATCGCTCAAATGGTTAATGATATTCGAAGTGGTTTTTAGAAAAAAGAAAAGCTAACCGGTGTCTTTATTGATCTTAAAAAGCGTTTAACGGCCAGTTTTTGCTTTGTAAGCTTGAGTGATACGGGATAAGAGCATTGCAAGTAGCTCCTAAAACATTTTATCTGAACGAACGCAACATGTTAGTTTAGGAGAATTTAACTCAACTATCAGAAAAATTGAGCATGGCGTACCACAAGGGTTAGTGCTTGGCCCATTGCTGTTTCTTATCTATAAAAATGATATGCCTGGGGTTGCAAGAAAATTGAACCTTAATTTTTGGTGATGATACAGCTATTATTGGCAAACTAAAGTATGGTCATCTTGATAAGAATTTATCCGCCACAACAATTGAGATGCCCACCAATCAATTGACACTGAATAGTTTAAAAACAAAAATATTCCATTTTCCCGAAGTTTCACGCATTAATGAACAAGAAGGTTCTCTGAATAGTCTAGAGTTAGAAATTTTAAGTGATTTAAACTATCTTCCGTTGTTTGTCGATAAACGATTATCGTTAGAGAATCATAAAAAAAAATTTGAAAAGCTCGCCAGATTTTGTGGTTCATTGGAGAGAATGCAATTAGTGTTCCATCGAAAACACCTTTTTAATTACTGTCCTTCCTTTCTAGTCTTCGATCATCATGTAGAAAAGCGAACAGATCTTCAATATTTCCGGTTGCAGGCATATACTCTATGCTTCAATTCAGATTGACAACAATGGATAAATTTTTCAAAAAGATGCATATATTTGATAATGTTGATGAAATCCGAAATAGGTACCAATTTAACAACATTGTTCATAATGTTCTCGATAATTATACACTACATAACCAAGAGCTGCGTTAACTCAATTTTTGACACGCAAAAGCTCCCCTGGAATTTATTGAAGCACACTGCAGTAAGCAGAAGCATGAGCACGCTAAAAGATCTAATCAACAAGTGCCAGGAATAATTTTGCCTTAACGGTAGCATCAAAAAGTTGTGATTTTTTTTTCAAATTTACGCAATATTAATCTTTACTTTTTGTGGAAACTTAACCTATCAATCGAACATCCTGTGGTAGTTTGAGTGTATTATGACATAAATGATTCTATATTTGATGTAAGAACCGGTATGTGATTAAAGCTGAGAAGAGTTAAAACTCTTGCCATCTTTGATGTTAAACGATTAATTTGAAAGTGATTGATTTTTTTATTATCTAGCTCTAACATTTTAAGGGCCTTGTGCCTAGCGTCGAGCATAGAAAAAATCAATGATTATTCAAACAATATATATATATATGTCAATGATAATCGATAACCGATTATCATAAAACCCGTTCAAGCCTTTTAAAAGAAAAAATTCTGTCCGTAAAGCTCTTCGAAGTACATTTTTAATGTTTGAACTTTTAAACAAATCTAATCTGAGAAAACTGGATCAAAGTTAAACTTTTGCCGCCGGGAAATTTAAATTTGAAAATCCATTATTGAAACTGAATAACATCGGTATTCCGGACCATATGCAATTTTGTTTTTGAAGAGATCCATTTGTCTTCCTTTTAGTGAACGAATTTGAATTGAACTGAAAGAAACATTAAATGTGAGCGTAAACTTCTGTGATGTAAAAAAAAATTACGCGAAACTACAGTGCTGATTTAAATTAACCGGACAAAACGCGGTTAACTTGAGATTTGAAACGCGTTTTTCTCAAATTGGGTTGAGTTTAGGCGAAAACTGATCAAGACAAAACTTGCTTTTAGCAGAATTAATATGGTGTAATTTGTGTTGTGAAATTTGGGCCCAAAATTTTACCTCAAAACAGGTCATTTTGGCTTTTCTTAGTTTATCAAAAGTTACGCCAAACATACCCAGTCGATCACAGACATCATTATATCAAAGCGAGCCCCTTACGTAGGCCAACAAACTTTAGGAAGGGTATATTCTCCAAAAAAAATTGCAAACCGTTTAAAAATTATTTTAAATAAAAAAGTTGGTATTTCATATAGTAAAAACGACCTTTGTGTCTATCAAACAAAAATAAATCAATTTTTAAATATTTTGAAGAATATGCTCTTCTTAAAGTTTGTTGGGCTACGTAAGGGTCTCACTTTGATACAAATATGTCTGTGATCGACTGGGTATTTTTGGCGTAATTTTTGATTAACTAAGAAAAAACAAAATGAACCACTTTTGGGGTAAAATTTTGGGCCCGAGCTTCGCAACACAAATTACACCATATTAATTCTGCTAAAATTTTAAGCAAGTTTTTTCTTCATAAATTTTCACCTAAACTCAACCCAATTTGAGAAAAACGCGTTTTGCATTTCAAGTTTTACGCGTTTTGTCCGGTTAATTTACATCAGCACTGTAGTGCTGATTTAAATTATCCGGACACAACGAACAAAACTTGAAATTTCAAACGCGTTTTTCTCAAATTGGATTAAGATTAGACAAAAAGTGAAGTGAACAAAAGTTGCTTAGAATTTCACCAGAATTAATATGGTGCCATTTTTTCTCCGAAATTCTCAACAAAAATTTTACCCCAAAAGTGGGTCATTTTGGCTTTTTCAATCAATCAAGAATTACGCTGAAACTAATTTGTAAATTGATAAGAAAATTAAATCACAGGAAGGCTCTCACGCAGCTCAACAAAAGTTAAGAAGGGTTAAACCTCCAAAAATTTGCGCAAATTGTTAAAAAATATATTTTTAAACAGAGATTCTAGGTTGTATATAGTAAAAATCACATTTATTGACTATCAAGTGAGAATTTTAACCCTTCTTAAACTTTGTTGAGCTGCGTAAGAGCCTTCCTGTGATATAATTTTCTTATCAATTAACAAAGTAGTTTCAGCGTAATTCTTGATTAATTGAAAAAAAGCCAAAATGACCCATTTTTGGGTTAAATTGTTGTTGAGAATTTCGGAGAAAAAATGGCACCATATTAATTCCGGTGAAATTCTAAGCAACTTTTGTTCTCTTCACTTTTTGTCGAATCTTAACCCAATTTGAGAAAAACGCGTTTGAAAATTCAAGTTTTGTTCGTTTTGTCCGGATAATTTAAATCAGCACTGTATACTGTGTCTTCACTACTTCATTGTCAGCTAAATAATTATATTCATTCCCTCGCTCACTCTCTTCAAATTGATCTCTTCACTAAACCTCGCCACTCTTAAGTCTGAAAAGAAAAAAAAACCACTCAGAAATTTTTTATTGCTTTCCGAAGCATGATAAATCACCCGCTCTGTATGTTGGTAGTTCAATTTTCGTGAACAAAAAACAACCATATACAGAGCTCTTTCCCGCTAATCGGTCGCAAAGAAGTTACTTTGCTGCAATCTTAGCTTCAATTTGATTGAAAGACAATTAAGCAGTGTTCTTTTGTAAATCCTACGAAATCCCAGAGAGCATACAACAGTGATGTCGATTAAAAAACAACTAAGCAAATAAATAAAGCTAAAGATAATATTAAACAGATTCGGAAAAACTTCATTTGATAAATTTTTTATGATTTTCTTGAACAATCTTGATTTAAATTTAAATTTCTATTTTTTAAATGGACATCACTGGAATACAACAAAAACAAAATTCCCGTTTATTTCACCAGAATTGCAGCTTGAGCACCCAGTCTTCCGTGAACTAATTTTTGGTTCACAACTTGACTATTGGCGGCATATCTCACCTGAAGATGTTGTTGGAGGTCTTCGAGAAGGCGTTGTCTATCTTAGGCTGCATAAGATAGCAGATAATTGCTATAATACATGCTATGAGGAAGGTTCCCAAGATAAACGGGATCATCAGCCACAGATCATTGTCCAAACTATCTCGCTCCCTGCAAAAAAAGAGTTCTCAAATCAGGACAATGCCCTCAATGTTTCAACTGCTAATTTACATGTTCCACGTGGAACGAAACTTTTTTAGCCAAGACTTTTTCTTGATAAGCTATTTCCCTTCCAGTTATTGATTGGAGACTAGTTTTGATTTGAGTTAAATTGATTTTTTTTGCGTTTGGGAGAAATTGTAGGAAAATTATCCTGCTCTTGATTTTGAGTCGGGCACGTCCGAAATAAAAACAAGTAACCCTAAATTGAAGAAAAAGAAAGTAGTCTTCTTACTTGACTAACGATGCTCCCACTAGCTCCATAACAACAATGACTTCTATTGGAGCAATAGCAACGCTTGCTTCTGAAGGGGAAATCAATGACCAAATGGACAGCATCTCTTCAGATGTCACTGCTCGGGAGAGGGATTGAAATGTTATGATAAGAGTGATGAATGGATTTCCATTTGTGCCTCGCCTGACATCGTTCACTAGCAAGGATCCAGACAATGCTTCTCCTGTGTATCTGTTAACATCCGGATAAAATGAACATTTCATTTGAGCTATCAATTGACGGTATGGTTCTGTCCCGAACGGTGAATGTCTGCGATTAAAGCCATTATCCATTTACTGCATTGCAATTTGATGCAAAAAGGATCGCATCAAATGAAAACCCTGGCTTCGTTCAAAAACTTAAGGTGGTAATCTTCAAACGATAATTTACACCAAGGAACTCGAGGCGCATTTTTTAATCCAATAAATCCTTACTTGTTAATTGCCGTTTGAAACAACAGTCTATATCTTGCCGTGAAATCGGAGGCATTCCAGGAAGTATTTGTATTGGACAGCACTGACAGAAATTGAGTCTCATCTGTGATTTGAGCCTTGACTGTTTTTGCGACCAGTACGAGCGACAGGATAGCAAATAAGGTAGTTACATAATACCGCATCATAACATAATCTGAAGAATTTTAAAAATATTGAGAAAAAAATCACATAAAAGGTCTTCGAAAATCAAGAATCGTTTACGTTTGACAGTTTTTGATAAAAACTAACCCAGTTTCAGAAAACTGGATCAACAGATAATTTTTTGTATTCCACTGGAAATTAATTAAAATCATGTTTCGAAACTGGAAGTCGTTTACGATTGTTCGCATCAATTAAATTTTTGTTATTCCAGACCAGATATTTTCTCCTTTTACATTAATGAAGAGAGAATTAGAAGAGACATTAAAAATAAATCAAGTCAAACCTCGAAAAATCAAATTGAAGCGTGAATAATTTACAGGACTTTCCCAAAAACACACGACATCATTAGCTTCGCTCATGGCCACTCAATAAGTTTCTGCAAACTCAAGGTTAGTTTAATATTGCATTAAACCAGAGGCAGATCTAGAATTATCTCGAGCAATCTTCTAACTCCACTAAAAACATGAAAAATATAGTTATCAGTTAACTTTCAACCCAATCATATAACAAATTTATAATTTACAGACGAGAGATGATCAATTCATCACCCCAATTTTCAATACAAGTTTATTCAAGTAATTAAACCAACATCAACTTTGTTAACAATCAACGTTCAAAAAATTTCGCTTTTAAATCCAATTTTTTTCTTGTACAGAAGTGACAAGAAAGACTGTTGCGCCATTGTTTCCATCTCAGCTAATTCTCTAACAGCTGGTGCCAATTGGCTCACATGATTTGTATAGTTGGATTTGTTTCCGGATATTTTCTGACCGTATGTTACTTTTCCAGCAAATTCGTCCGCTTGGACTTCCATGTCTGGACCTATTTGAGGAATTGTCGTTCCAAGATGCTCCTCGATTTCCCTTCAGAAACAATATTATCATTAAAATAAAACTTCATTTTTAATGCCATTTATTCATTAGAAAACTTAAACAGCAGCATCTTTTATCATCGGCCCAAAAACAAAGTAAGCAAAATTATAAAACGGTCCAGACAATTAACTTTTTAACAAAGCCGGCAGTCAGTTGGAAAGTGTCAGTGAACTCACGAAACCCACAAAAAACTGTATTTGAGTTTTAGAAAAATTATCACCATAAAACTCTTGGAACTTCAATATGTTTCACTTTTTTGAAACAGAAACAAAGCTGAGCTTTACATGACTGGAGATCAGGGGCGGATTTAGTGGGGAGGGGGCGGACGCCCACCTCAGGTATTCGACCCCCTCATCAACTAAAGGGTCCCCCTTTGGTGTTATTTTATGACTATTATTTTCGACCGCCCAACCATAACGTTTTTCTAAAGGTGCCTTCAGCGCCAATATATACTTATTTTGAAGGGGCGCACGCCGAAAAACGCAATTTTTTTGGTCAAAATATTCCAAAAAATGCCCAAAAACAGCATTTTTGGACTTTTTTCACAAATTTGACTGCGTCAAAATATGATCTTTATAGTGTTCTGCGAGCGCTCGGAATTTCAACTTGCCCTGGTTGACCTCCATACACAAAAAATTCTTATCAAACAATTCCATACATCAAGTGTATGGAAAAACGCATGTCATACAATTTTCGCATAATTTCAAAAAATGGTTGAAAAAAGTTAAAAACTATTTGATGCGGCTGTTTGATTCTAATGAAATTCTCTGGTGATGAAAAATCCGAGGTTTTGCTTTTTGACAAAAATTATTATCATACAATTCCCATGTATGGAAATTGTATGACTAGCATTTTTTTGTTGGCGACACAAGTATTTTTGAAATTGCCGTTAAAATTTTTTTTGTTTTTTTTTAACGGAAAATCAAATTTTGCACTCAAACAAACACTTTCCAAAAAAATTTGTGCATGCAAAATGTAATTATTAGTGTGCATAACGAAGTCCTGGATACACTAACGTTGTTTTTTTCCTTTTCGCAAATTAACTTTTTTCAAAAAAGCTGAAAACTCCTATTTTTTGTATGACATGTTTATGTATGCCTTGATCAATGTCTGATAATTTAAAAATAACCATTGCTGAAAAGTTACGCTAAAACTTAGAAGTTTGTTACTTTGGTTATATCATTTGAGAAAGACAGCTCGAAGACATTTCAGGTCGTTTTCTATGCATTGTAAATACAAGACCGTCCAACCTTTGGTGCTTTGAGTAAACCAAGGTCGTCGTCACTTGCATTCGGTTACGAACACAACCCAAAATTTTTCAGAAATTGCATTTAGAAAAACATCAACTTTGCGGTTTATCGAAAAACACATGTCATACAATTTTCATTGATGGAAAAATGTTTAGCATAGAGATCTCATACATTTTTCTGTACGTATGGAATTGTGTGACAAGAAGTTTCTCATATATGGAAACTGTATGATAAGAAGGTTAGGTCAACCCGGGTGGTCAATTCAAACACAAAAATTTCTTTTTTTTTGAAAATCAGCCCCTTCTTCGAGTGTTCTGCATTTTGGATATAAACAGGTAACAGATTGAGAGGAAAACCACTAAACAAGAAAATAAAATTGCAGCAGGTGAAAAAAATAAATAAACCAAAACTGTCATACGTTGACCTCAATTTGTCTAGAATTAAGTTCACTTAGAGGGAAACATTTACAGAAACGCAATTGCCAAAAATGTTGAGTTTAAAAATTTAAGCGTTAAAACAATTTCAACGAAACACACGAATAACAAACTTTTCGCCTTTCAAAGGGAAAAAAATGAGCAAACTAAGCCAATGTTACATAAGCCAAAGCCAAAAAAAAATCTTGTCACCGAAAAAAAAATTACAAGATCTGAGTTATTCAATTTACAACCAAGATTAAGCCAAAAAAGAGCTGTAAACGGCTATAAGCCAAAAAAGAGCTGCAAAAGACAAAACAGTACAAAGCAAGTTTATACAGCTTTCAAAAACAACATTGAAAAAATGCCATCTAGGAGAATGGACTGGTTGTTTAATATGCAAGCATGCTCAAAAAATGTCAGTTAATTGACTAAAAAACAGTTGACGAAAGAATTGACGTAATGTTTCAGTGATTCCGGTAAACAAGATTCTTCTCTGAAAAATTTTGGTACAATTCGATGACTCTTACCAATCGCAAGCGTAACGAGCGTAAGCGTGATAAACAGAGGCGAAGCTGCATTTCGAAAATATTATCGAGAAAACGGCTAAAAAAGCTATAAAAAGACAAAAACAAAGTGCAAACGTTCGATAAAATTGCATAAATTTCCCACAAATTTTTAAAAGTTGCTTTACAAAAACTCTGGTTTGCAAATACCAAGAAACTTGCTCTCGCAAGTGTAACAAGGAAAAAAGTATAACTAAGCCTTGAAAAGCAAAACTTTTGATATATGCCGTAATCGAAACTCCGAATGGAAAATTAGGAATCTCATTAATTCGCATCTGCCCCACTGAAAATTTACCAACAACCACTACCAATAAAGCAGCTACAGCTGCTATTAAATTTCCAATACTCTGCGGCACAAATGCCACCAAATATTATAGCCAACAAACAAGCAGTTGGAAAAGAGTCAATGAACGCCAAAAAAAAGTTCAAAAAAAACCGACTTGTTTTTTGAACGCCAATAAACAGAAGAAAAATAGTGATTTATTATTGGTAATAATCTCAACTTTCGAATTTCAAAGAAAAAAAACAATGCCCTTAAGGCTCTTTGAATTTCACTAACAACTTATGATTGGCCTATTTTGAGAAAACTGGATCAATAAGGAAAAATTTTTATTTCGCTGGTAAATCTTGAAATTAAAATCCACTTTCGAAACTAGAAGTCGATCGCGTTTTTCGTCACCTTTACACTTTCGCTGTTCGATAGTGGAATTTGTCTTCATTTTAACAAAGGAAATCAACTGAATTTATAAAGAAGTCAAAAGTCAAACCGCGAAAAAATAAACTTCAGCCTGAACAAATTTGAAGGCTTTTCATAAAAAAAAACAGAAAGTTAAAATCACCGCGACCTTTAGAAGAGTCTAAACTACATTCTTCAACTCTTAAAAAAATTTCTATGTTACAAAATTGAATCTCCGATGTTAGATTAGCCGCAGTCGCTTGCAAAGATTAGCCGCGGTCGCTCCGATGCCGCGGTCGCTTGGAAAAAATCAATAGCTACCAATAAAACAGCTACAGATGCTATTAAATTACCAATTCTTAAAAATATACTATAAGTGCCGCCAAATGAGCTCTTTTATTTCCTACTTCAGTTTAAAAATGTTACTTCGTAGTATAATAAAATACTCGGCTTGCGTAAAAATGAGAACTTGAGAAAACTGATTAAAAAAAAATTTTGCATTCCATTGTTTATTTAAAACTTAAACCCATTTTTTAAACTCAGAGACGAACCAGAGCTTCGCAGCACTTGCAATAAGCCAAAAATATTTGCAGTACAAGATAAAGGATAGGAAAAAAAGACGGATGTCGAATTTTTATTTTGCTCATTTAAATTCAAAGAAATACTTGAGACAAGTCAAAATTTCATACCTCTGCCTGGGACAACATTCATGAAAAACCTTATACACAGTGGCGAAACAGCGCCTTGCGAACACAGTTGACAAAACGCAAAAGAGCTCTAAACAGGCAAAACAAAGTGAAACAAGGAAAAGATAAAGAAAAACACCTAATACTTTGTTGAGATTATGAGTTACACGTTCTCATATCTGCTTTATGACCTATTTTAATTTTAATAACACTAGCCAACATAAAATCAGCTAAAGTTTCTATCAAATTGCCAATGCCATGCAGCAAAAATGCGACGAAAAAATAAAACTATTTAAATGTTCCGGATTTGAATAACCTACATATTGACTATGAGTCTCACGTCCTCGCATCTCCCCCACAGTCACTTGGAAGCAAACCAGTGGTCCAGCTAATGCTGGATCTACCTGTTCCAATCATTTTAACACAGAGGCGAAGTTGAACTTCGCATACACAAGCAAAAATATGACCGATAACGCTACTGGGAAAAATTGAATGATAAAACTTCGAGTCAACAAAACGTATTAATGACGCACGCCAACTATGAGTCTACATAGTTGCTAAGTGACGCAAGCCAGTTATGACACATTATCAGTACCAGTCAATTTGAAAAAAAAATAAATACCCAACTAACATGCCTCAATTCATAGAGCGCACACATTTTAAGTAGTATACGAAAAAGGTTCGAATCCTTTTAATTTATTTCTGGTCTCCTTCCCTACCTCTACGCTACAGATCCATGATACCTCGAAGCTTAAGTGCTATGTGTAATACAATAGTGTGTTAATATCCTTAGCATTGGCTGTTTTTAATAGCTGGATCAAAATGAACACTTTCAAAATAAACATTTTGTCGCAATAATTTTATCGCAACAATATTTGCGACTTAGGTTGGAAAAAAAGAGAGTTCATACTATAACACAAGCTATGCTGTGTAATCGTACATTGTACTGATATCGAAATGCGTAATTTTCAAAATTTCAAAAAACGTAATTTAATGTGAAAAAGTAGTGTTTCTCTGCGTAAGTAGGGGATAAGCCGCTTGCTTAAAAGAAAACACTACTAATGGCGCTTTCAATTGAAGTTTTTATCTGAGATTTGGCTGGATAGTTTTCGAAAAAACAGTAAAAAAGATTCCAAAAATCGATAAAAATTCAAAAATTTGACTTTTCCTAAATCCATAAACTTTCAATTTCAAACTTTTCAATGAATAGCCTCTGCTTTCCACGCCCTTATTTTCAGATTGAATATTTTCTAGCCCTGATTTTTTAGATTGAACCCTTAATATCATATCAGTATTAGCTCGTAGTTTTTCGAGAATAGTGACGAATTTTCAATAAAAAACGGTAAACATTTGAAAAGAAATTTTCCGGAGTCCATATCGGCTTATCTGCAAATCAACAG